CAGGCACAAATTTAATAAAAATGGAGAGATAATCAAGAAAGAGGATAAAGGAGTAGATTTTTCTTCAAGATTCGTGTGACATTTTATCATTTTTTTAATAGCGAGGCTGCCAAATGTTTCACGCTTCATTGTCCTTTGATTCTCTCTCATACTAGCCAAAAGAAGTGACATAAAGATTAAATATTTTATTAAATTCCATCATCGGGGGCGTCAATGCGCCAACTCAGAGCCCGGACCAGTTTTAAAGTGGGCTTGAGATTTTAAATCAGCAACAGAATAAAAATAATTGCGACGAGGATTGACTCTCGTCCAAGACAGGTTCAGGTTCCAATAGGATCTGATGATAAAGTATAGCCTATTTTTCTTGCTCATCTCTCTCTCACCAACCCCACCACACCCCCATCCCCGCTCCCACTTGTATCTCACTTAAATGAGGAAGACCGAGCTATGCCAATCCTGAGTCACAGGTGGGTCTTGCAAAACGATTTTCGGAGCCTGGATTTTGGACTTTTCTTAGGTCTGAGCCAGCTTTGAGGATTCTCGCTGTAGTCTTGGCAGGCCTTATGCCTTCATTATTTGTGGAGAAACCTTGTACGGCTGTCTAAGTGTTCCATAACATGCTGGGCATCAAACCAAGTGCCAACAACTTTCTGACCCCTTAGCGAGAACCAGGCTCGAGGAGACTCGTGATCCATCCCCATTATATTTTAACACCTCCAGTTCAGACAAGAGTTGACAAATACGGAAAAAACTTGAAGAGACGTAGAACAAGATGTGAAAAATATTTGGGAATCTCCTCCTTGGGCATTTGTTTTGTTCCCCTGGATTCGCTCCTTGTTTTGGGAGGGAAGGGGGACGTACACGTCTCAAGGAAGGAAAGTCCTCTATGAATAAGGTAGGAAGGTAGGAGGCTTTTGGGTGATGGGAGGCCACCACATTTAGGAGGGCCAGCAGAGGAGGCCTTTTATAATCACCAATTATTGACCCCAACTCCAAGTCCAGCCTTGCAATCCTAGCCCTGCACCCTAACGCCCTCTCACCCCTTACGTTGTACAGACTAAACTACGTGGATTCTCCAGTACTCTGTAGTAGGCGATGGCGCCCCTAGGAAGGCTTGGTTAGGTCGTTAGGCGACGCCAGGGTTTTTATTACAGAAGGGCTTGCGCTGGTAGATTAGTCTGTACTAACTACACGATCAAGACCAGTGTCGAGCTTGCTATGAACAGCAATCCGACCCACGGCGGTCTGCCCTTCCTCAAATTATCAGCCACCAGTGCATTCCTTTGACGTGTAAGTCGCGTCCATGCAGCAAACACAAGGATTAGTTTGCATCCAGAATTATACACTCATGCATAAGCATGCGTACATGAATGCTGTGCAGAGTTTGCGGTAAGATCTCGGGGGGTGGAGTGAAAGACCTCGATAAAGTCACAATTTTCGACGAATTTATATGTTTTCGATACCAAGCATTTGTTTCAGATGGCTAGGTTTATGTGGGCCAAAAGTCAAATGGAAAACTATCACCATGGTCAAAGAATTTGAGAAAAATTTGTTGCGCTTAACGTTGGACTTTCGTGCATGGTCCCAGCATATGTAAGTATCGAAGTCTTCTCTAGACGTGTTGACATGTGAAGGGCACGACAAGATGAGGGGACTAAGTCCAACGCCACTCGACAGCCGTCAAATACTGTGTACCCTCACCTTTCAAGTGAGAATAGTCAACACGTGGAAAGAGGGATTAGGGGCAGAAAAATTTCTCACCTATTTACTCAACGTTTGAAACCAAGTCGAGGAGAAAATGGCGAACGAAGACCATTCCATTCGATGAAAGAATTTGTAAAAAGAAATCATTTCCAAGTTGATGACCATCAAACTCTCTTCCATTGAAAACGAAGTCCTCTCTCATACACTATGATTAGCTTGAATCGACAGGCACAAGCTATCATAGTTATTGAAATATTTGACTTCGGAAATGAGGTGCTTAAGCACTTTGGAATTAGTCATTTATAATCGCCATAAGTGTGTGACAGATGTTCTTAACTTTTTCTAAAGACTCTTTAAGCTACGAAACTACTATCAAACCCATGCAAACAAGCATAATCCTTCATAATCCCTTGATGATTTTCAAAAAGATATTCTTTAACGGCCATAATGCCTCTGTCTGATTAGCTTTAAGCTGGATTTTTATTTCCCATAGAATTATTTACCAGGTCCCAAGTACACAACAAATAAATGACTTACATAAAAATGACATGACTAGTAGTATTCTAAACTTGATATTCTCTAGGTTACTGATTCACTCAGATCTTAAGAAGTTTCTCAACACGAACATGAAACCATACAATTGCTTGATTGGATTGAATATTACAGAAAAGATAATACTTCTGCTGCCATAATAAATGCCCTGAAATTTAACGAATCAATATTATTCAATTAAATTAGGTGATTAGCGCACATTTTATATTTTCCAGGTTATTCTACATAAAATTAACTTTCACTATGGACACTTTAGAAAACCTCATCAACAGTCGTACATGACATGATGTAAATTTATTAGTGTACACATACAAATTAGATAGACAATTATTATCAACTTTGGTTGTATCTAGCATGCTTCTTTGGTTTATGTTTACAGATTAAATATAGAAATACAAATACAGAAGAAAACGACCATGCACCGAATCCAGTTAAGCTTACTGTTTGAGTAATCCTAAAGAAATAATTTATAAATTTTATGAAAGACTAAGATAGTGGAATTGGCTTAAAACCTTCGATGATGAAGAAGTGCCAGATGAATCTTCTGATATAGACCCTGTTCAATCTAATTTAATGTCTCCCATTAGAGGCTTGATCAATCTGCTAATCTCATGTTATCATCCAGTGTTCTCTCTGATCCCACGAGTGTACGCGCCCAATCGCTAATACTGTGCACACTTAGATGGATCAGTGCATGATAATAACGAATGTTTACACCTCTAACAACTGAACACGCTTAGCAATCATGAACTCACACGCCCGATTCATCATCGAAACACTTCGTGCACGGTTGCCTGCTTATTGATTCCGACAAAAGAAAAGCAATCCACTGACGGTAAGAAAACTCTCCCATATGGACAAATGATCAAGTGTGAACCCATCTCAACAGTGGCCGCCCAACACTGTTTCCGCGTCCTTGATATGGCGCAGCTAGATGGAAGATAGCTAGCGAGGGAGAGAGAGAGAGAGAGAGAGAGACCAGGTGTAGGTATGTTACTGCTAAGCGGCGGTAGCAGGTGTTGATAGGCGTGAGTAAAATGGACGGAAATAGGATCTAACTACTATGTTGATAGCCTAAGGAGGCAGACAAGAGTACAACCTCCATGTTGAGGATCACAGGCCGACACCAGCAGCATACACCGCCTAAACTCGTCAATCTCAATTTTCCTGTACGTATGTACCGGAAGTGACACCATGCATCCTGCTCTCTCTCTCTCTCTCTCTCTCTCTCTCTCTCTCTCTCTCTCTCTCTCTCTCTCTCTCTCTCTCTCTCTCACACACACACACACACACACACACATACACACACGCACACACACACACACTCACACAAACACACAACACGCACACTCACACACACAACACACAGGCACTCATAAGAAAGAGTTCGTACCGACTGCTGGCCTCCGTCCTCTTACCCCTCACTGTGGTAAGAAAGAAAACGTACTGAGTACCGAGTATACTAGTTTAAAGACCCCTAACAAGATGGCCAGCTTAAGTGCCGCCCCGATACGTGGGGAGGGAGCCGGCCTCTTTTGTCTTCCACCCTTATTTATTTCCCCTTCCTGTGCAAGGGCACTGGCATCCTATGTTAAAGCTTGACGTCATGTGTTTGAAAAAGAAAGGTAAACCAGGGATCACGGTTTCGAAGACGACACTCTATCGAGGCTGTTTGATTAGTCCCATCTATATTTCTTTAAGGGATACGAATCTTAGCATGATCTAATGGATAGACTCTCGTCGAATTAATTAACCCATTCCATGGGCAACAAACCCAACACGAAGAGCAGAGAGTTCACGGTGCCCCCTGCTTCCCCACCGCGAAAAGACCGAGTTTTGATCCAATTGGGTGATGACCCACCTAGTCTTCTCACCCCACTTTCCCTTGCAGTTATCTTTCTCTCCATCAGCGATGTCTCCACTGGTGCCGTGTGAGTTAGTTCGACAGGAGAGGAGGATCCACATGACTCTCTTCTCTCATCTGCCTTGCTTGGTTTAAACACACGTTCTCGCCGCTGTTGCAGATTGACGATGGGAGACCAACCTTCCCCTTGGATGGCTAGAAACTACTAGAATACTGTCAGAGAAATTAAATAAAACAAAGGAGACGCATATAACCCAGTTCATAAAATAAAGTTACATTGGACACGATTTCATTAGGATTTAAATAAGCTCAGATGATATTCTAGTGGGTAACCACGCTAAAGAAATAGATTTGAAGTTTAAGAAACTAGAAGACTATCTGACACGATTAATTAAATTCGTAGAGATGTATAAAGTCCACTGAATAAAGTCATTCAGGAATAATCATTTTTTTCATTAGAACATTGCTATGTTATGCAGGGGCCAAGAGTCCCATCGAGATTCCTATGTAATTGGTTAATGTGCAGGAATGAGATACGAGTGGAGGAAATCGAACTTTGTACTGTTGCCGATCGAGACTGCTATTAAACTGTCCGTGAAAATTAATTCAAGAGATAAACATACATGGGACCAAGTTAATCAGCTAAACTTACCAATAGCTCGTGATTTCAGTCGAACTATAGCAACTTCGTCTAATACCCACGAAGCCCGAGTGAGATGACGGGGTGACTGGTTATGTCAGAATTTCATGATTTGAGAAAAAAATGGAGAAGGAGAACGGAGGGGAGCAGAAGCTGTACATGATCCGGAGAATTGGAGCTTGTTAAATTGGAAAGCAGAAGAAAAAGGAGAAATGGAGAGACGACGATGAGAGATGATCCTCAGGAGCCAGCCGGCGCGAGGCTGAGATGCAAGTCCAGGCCGAAAACTTCGTCGGGGCCTTGGGCCCCGCCGCCACCGCCACCAACCACACCGCCGACGCCGAAGCCTACGGAGGAGAAGCTGGCGAAGCCGGGCGATGGCGACCAGGCGGAAATGGTTGTGGAAGCCGCCCGGGGGAAGATGCAGCCATGGGAGAATCGAGGACTTGGACCAACGACCCGGGGGAAGCAGACCCAGCCGCTCGTGGGCCTAGCGTTGGCGGCCTGGCCAGAAGCGGTGAGGAGTTGAGGGGAAGGGCCGAAGACGGAGTTGATGGGGTCCCCGTGGTGGAACATCTGGCCTGGAAGGGCGGCGGCGTTGGCGGCGGCGGCGCGAGCCTGTTGGTGGGCCTGGAGCTGGGCCCGCTTGAGTTGTTGGCGCTCCTTCTTGTGGGCGTTCTGGTGACCGCCGAGGGCCTGGGAGTTGGCAAACTCCCGGCAGCAGTACTGACACTCGTATTTCCGAACTTCACCAGCACCGGAGTTGGCCGTGGTGGCGCAAACAGATGAGGAATCCGGCGAGACAATCCCTCCGGCGCCCATCCTTTCCGCGGTCTCTTTGTTTTCATCCCTAGAAATGTGGAAGCCGAATAGCTTCAGCTTTGGGCTGGTAGTGGAGGGTTTCGTTTGGCATTCGAACCCAGCCATGGCACAGAGCGAGATAGAGAGGGAGAGAGAGAGGGAGAGAGAGAGGGAGAGAGAGAGGGAGAGAGAGAGAGAGAGAGAGAGGAATGGGTTAGGGTCATTGCATGCAAGGGGATTTTCATATATATGCGAGCATGGGGTAAAGGCTCGGAGACTCGGTCACATGCCCGTTTTAAATTTCTCTAGAAATGAGGGAGAGAAGCCTGGGGAGTAGAAGAATGTTAAACTAAGACACCATGTGCCGCTACTATAATATATGCGATAAGAAGTGAGTTGCGTGCTCTAAACGAGCAAGAGATACAGAACAAATATATGGGTAGATACACAGAGAGCGGAGGAGGGAGAGAGAGAGAGAGAGAGAGAGAGAGAGAGAGAGAGAGAGAGAGAGAGAGAGAGAGAGAGAGAGAGGAGAGGGAGAGAAATGAAGTGATATTGGGAGGGGATCCGCAGAATTACTATAGTTTTTCGCATACCCCTTTGGAATCCACTCTCCTCCGCCACTCTAAGATACTTGTCATCTATGTGTACTTAGCTTACTCGATTAATCCCCCCTTCTTCGTAGTCAGACCCTGTCGAGTCCCGTTCCCCGGGAACAATGAAGCCGATAATTTCTCCCTCGCAGCCTGAACAAGCCATCATAAGAGCTCCATCGTTGAACCGGGTTATTACGACGAGGCTGAGGACCTCTAAAGTAGCCGCCTGTCGAAGCCCAAAAAGTATTAAAACGGGAAAGGAGCAAGAAACCATCATAGTTCACTCTCACCCTATCGTATACTTGAATCCAAAAAATAAAATGTAAAAGTATCTAAAATGGTCTAATGTCTGTAACTGTATCATTTCATTCATTTATCGTGTGAATTACTCTTTGCAGCTGCGTTTAAATACCAAGTCAATGAAGTTAAAAATATCGTACTTGAATACGAAGTACTTCCAAGGACGTTATCCTCCTCACAATGAGTAAAATCAAGACAGTGTACTCTAAATACTGGAAAACGCGCAACGGAAAAGGAACAGCCCTCCTCCCCAGCGAGCATTGGAAAGGTTGTCATTCACTTAACACCGATAGCATTGAAATCTGAAGGATGCTCAGGGATAGCGTCCATGATTAGAGCCACCGATAAGTCCACAAGAAAGCGAAGATGCATGTGTTCGTCTTGTAAATGTGTGATTTGACCGCACGGTCTCACAAAGGTCATGCCACGCAGCTTTCGCTGGCTCTCCAACTTGTGTTTCATCACTATTCCCTAACTTCTTTGTTATCGTCTAGCATTCTGTAATCCAGCTCTTGTCAGCTAATCTCTTTCAGCGTCAACAGTCCCACACGTTTGACCGTCGGTTGGTTGGTTGGCAAGGCCGCATTTTATAACAACAGTGATTTTAACTGTATATTTTCATGAATCACGTGGGATAAAATAGAGCAACAGCTCCTAGCAAGAAGGCTTATTTTCCTATCTAGCAATACTTCCGGGAGGGTAGAGTTGTCTTATTCATGATAGCAATATTTCTGATTTAGTGAGCACCTATCTCAACAGACCATACTTTCTTTCTCAGAAAGGGAAGTAGATTAGGTTCTAAACCATATTGTTCGTTCAACGAAGAAAGTTCTAGTTCTATCTCACTCTAAGGAGAATCAGACCGAGAGTCCACGACGCAGTGATGGGCCATCTGCAAGCGACAGTGTAGAGTTCCGATAACTTCAGAGGGTGAACAGTAGCTATAGTGTTGCTCGGTCTTTCGCCTTTGAACAAGGTAGGGCCACGTTCTAAGGACTATACCGAACACAAGCCATCACCTCCAATCATTCAAGCTTTGCTTTTCCTTCTTTGTGACAACAACATGATCCCCAGTATGCGGTCCTTCCCCCACTTATCAGCGCGGAAGAGACTATCTTCTTCTGCATCCAAGGGAAACATTGTCCTCGCGATTTAGTTCGGAACATCTGATATATGCGTTATTTTCTTCTTTTCTATCTGTTCTGTTCTCTCTCTCTCTCTCTCTCTCTCTCTCTCTCTCTCTTTCTTGTTTGACTTCATTTCATCTTTTGGAGTCGGCTTCCGTTCCTTTTCCTGCAACCGGTTAGGCAAAATCACTCCCTTTTCGGAGGCAGAGGGGGGGGGAGGGGTGTGTGTGTCTGTGTGTCTGTGTCTGTGTGTGTGAGAGAGAGAGAGAGGAGGGTAAAAAAACAGGGAACAAGTGAATAGGTAAGAAGGGACCAGATGGAAGATGCTACCTCTGGGATGGACAAGGTGAAAACAACTGCAGCAGAATGGAAGAGAGGTATTTTATATTCGCTCATTGGTTGTCCTTGAATTAGTTCCAAGCATTGGCGTTGTGTATCTAAATATATGGATAGATGTACTGAAATAGAAAAATAGGCATATATAAATAAATGAAGAGAGAGAGAGAAAGAGAGAGAGCGAGAGAGAGAACTCTAATCGACCTCTAGGAAGGACAGAAAAACAGGAGTTCTGGGAGGGCCTCTTCTCTGTAATCGAGGATGGCATCTAAAGATTGACGGTGCTAGCGTGATTGACGCAGAAAGGGAAGATAGCCTCCACCAGGAGCCCGAGGGTCTGATAGTAGCGTTGTTGTTCCGGGCAGTGGGGCATGGTGGGTGTCACCTTCTCTATGATATTAAAACTCAGGTCCGATGGGAGAACCTATCACGCGTCGGGAAGGAAAAGTTAAATCCGACTCCCTACTTGTCGGGCATTCCCTCTTAACGACGGGAAGACCTCGTAGTATTTTCGATGATCTTCTTCGGAGAAACCAACGTCGTCTCCTTGGCGAGGAGAGGAATGATTCAAGGGCGAAGTTGTTCCCTCATCCTCGTCGTCGGTAATCGGTTTAAGTGGAGAAGCCAATCGTCCCAGTTTCTTAGTGAATCATTAGGAGGCTCTCTGCATTGAGACCGGACTTCCTGTGCACATTCACCGTGCCAACGTTATCGTCTCTTGCACCACCTCCAGTCTGTCTCCCTCGGGAAAGAATCGCCGAGGTGACCGGTGCCGGCCATTCTGCCCACGCATTAGGCCCCGCCCTCTACAGAACGTTGAGATTCACTCTAGGGTACGGGGTACCGAAGCTCATCAAGCCACACAACAAAACCCAAAGCCAAACGACGGAGGAAATATGAAGGGAATCAACCAGGCACGTCCTTTGAGGGATCTTTTTCTCCTCCTCATTTTCCTTCCATTCTCATCCATTATCTCCCTCTTGGTTTCCAATTGTATAACGTTCTATGTTCCCCCGTCAATTGGGTCTTACCAGTACGTTTATGTGCTATGTTCAAACAAAGGAAGAAAGAAGGTTGGGGGGAAGGGTGTTGACAGCACATGGCATTTTCTATTGATCTATCGAGAACACATGGGCAGATGCGTACTGTTGGACGTCACAGTGTTGCTGCCCTCAGCTCGAATGAAGTTCCCCCCTTGTCTTGCTGTGCTTTGCTCTTGTGGGCCAGTTTGGTGTGCATTTAATCAGCGATTCTATGCCTCTCTCTCTCTCTCTCTCTCTCTCTCTCTCTCTCTCTCTAGCTATATATATATATATACACATACATATCTTTCTCTATCCAATCCAGCTATCTAGATATCTATCTTTTGATTGAGATAGAGGGAAATGGCGACAAACGCTCGCTTCAAGCTACCTATTTTTGGGTTAAATGGTTTTCTTTTATTTTCCCTTTCTTCTCTCTCTTCCCCCCTATTGTGTGTGTGGTCTCCACATGTGGACATAAAATACGGAGGAGGTGGCTTAATAATGCACTCCTCTCGCTTGTTGACTGATGTGATGGCCGTGGCAACGCTTGAGATTTCCCGAATCCATTTGTCCGTCCCCGCCATCGAAGAAGAAGACAGCTTCTGTCGTGGTGGAAATAGCAGAAGGCCGCCGTTCCCGTGTTAAGTTTCAATGGGTCGGCACCTTGCTTTAGGACTCAACATGGGCATGGCCCACCTCGTACACTGACCCTCCCCCTCCCCCTCCCCCATGCATCCTTTTATTAGAGTTTTCTTCACCTCTGGTTTCATAATTGTTGATCTCAACACGGTGCAGGAACTACTTACGCCCCCGCTCTCCAGATTCCGGAGACTTTCATAGCCCAAGTTCCCTCTGCTACAAGAGGCCAATAATGATTCCCGTCAGAGGGGCTGATGAGCACACATGCCGGGAGATTAAGCAAGATCTTCCCCTGGTGGGCACGGCTCAGAAAGCCTCCGAGCAGGCGCGCTTCCGTCCGCAAGTTGTCCAGAGGGGGGGGGGGGTATCATACGACGACAACATAGACAGCAAAAGGCAGAGGGCCTTCTCGTCTCTCGGCTCTGTTGGCTTCATAGAGGACCCAAGATGATGATCGGTACGACATGATTAGAGGTGTTTGCTTTTACGATCCATCATCCTTGTAATGAAGGTATTATTAAGGCTGTAATCAAGAAAAGGGGATGGTGGGTTTCTATAATAAATAATACAATGGGCGTGTATTAGGAAAAAAAAATTAGCCAACTTTATTTGTATGATTTTAATATGATACCATACACCACTGCAATGCAATATGATAATTTGTAGCAATTAATGCTCTCATTTTTAGTTATATTTTACAAAAATTAATCCTTCATATCATCTTATTTTCAAGCAAGATCCAAGTAAGATTGAAAATCCCTCACAACTCATTGACCTTGAAACTAGTCTAGAGGCAACGACCGTCCTCTAAAATTTGATGTGAGAGAAAGGGGGGTCATCCAAAGATGCAAAGGTGGTTATCATGTGGTCTCTCATATATATTAAATTAACAGATGAAGCAGACAGAATGGAGAAGATATACCAAGCCTTTAGATCTGTTGGATGAAAGGTTGATCATTGATCGTTGACCTTATGACTTCACATGGACCAGGTCAATCAGAGAAGTAACTCAACCCTGGCAAAGGCAAGCTGGTGTAGATAAGGCGGTTCAGAGCAGCTCAGACCAGGAGGGCGGGATGGTTTGAACCAAGTTGCTCGAGTCAGGTGGCAAAATGATTCGAACCGGGTGACTCGGGTCAAGAGGCAGGCTCGTTTAGACCACGTTGCTCGAACCAGGAGGCGGACTGGTGCAGTTCGAAGGAAGTGGGCCGTTTGGGCCGGGAAGCTAGGGCTCATGATCCGGTTTGATTAAAACCCCAGCCGAGGGGAGAGAGAGAGATAGAGAGAGAGGCGAATCGGACGGCAACGGCGAGAGAGAAGAGAGCTAGCGACAGGGCGGGCGGCCAGAAGGGGGAACGGCGGCGATGGCGGGAGACCACGATGGTGGAGGCAGTTGGATGATCGTGGAAACGGTGTCAGACGATGGTGGCTGCAGGCGGCGATTCGAGGGCTAACGGTGATGGAAGGGGAGGGCGAAGGTAGCGCGGCGGAAGCAGGGATGGCGATGGTGGTCGACGGCGGTAGCGAGTGGGAGGCGGAAGAGGAAGGGCGGAGGCCGGGATGGAGGTGGCGGCAGCGGCAGACGACGACGACGACGATTGACGGCGGAGGTGAAAATGGGGGCGATAGCAGGGGGTGGCAGGGACGGCGAGAACCGGGCGGCGGCTAAGGCGAGGGCGAGCTGACGGTGACGGGATGGAGGGGAGAAGAAGTGGGAGAAGAGAGGGGAGGGGGGAAGGAGAAGCTCCAGAACGGTTCAACATCAAAATACACTGTCCAAAAGCAGAGGTCTTCCGACCAATTTATAGACCTCAGCTAGTAACTGAAACGGCGAAATGAGAGGAGAATAGAGTTAATAAAAGGTGAGCTCGCCCATTTCAGGGCATTTGCGGTGACGACGTGAACGGCAGATGGTTGAGTTCTCGATGAGATCCACGTCCTCCTCTATTTCACGTCTCCAGCTCTTCACCTTGGCTGGCTCCACCTTCAAGCGATGGTGAGCTGGACCATGCTGCACAATGACACACTAGAGACGGGTTCTCAATCGCTGCCATAATGACGTCCAACTGTTTCTGACGTTAGGAGTATGACAACTTGAAGATAAGAGTAGAATGTCTACAATTAAATTTGACAAGGAAAACCTTATCCGATCCGACCCATATAACTTGAATACCACACCACCACATTATTCAAAGAATGCTCCTTCCAACTTAGCGAGGAGCTTTAGCTTTGGGCTTTCCATGCATATGACAATGACGTCTGCAGAGCGTTGGCGTGAAGAATTTGACAATTGAGGATGGAAATAGTCTTCTCCTTGTAACACAACTGGCCCAAGGTTGACGCACATTTATGATTTCCGGGTAATCCACTAATTCTTCCAACCCATCATTCGAATCGAGAAAAGGTCCCTGTGCACATGATCCAGTGCCCACCTCTCCGAGTTTCTCGTTTGAAGGCAATCGTATTGTGGAGGACGTGAATGCTTTGTGGAGGGCTAACTGCGACACCCCACCGCGTGACACTACCATTCATAGCACTGGTGTTCGTGCCTCAATCCGATGGGGAAGGGAGTTGGTGCTCGTGGTCATGGAAATAACCGATGCCTAGGCTGCTGCTCCCCGGGTCGCAGATACTCTGTGGATAAGGTGAGGGAGAAAGGGTGCATTCCGGTCATACGAGGACGTGGTCGTCTTCTGTGAGGAAAAAGCACATCGGATTGGCATTGCAGATGTCATCCTTCTTCTGGTTTTCCCCAACGAAATGCCAAGGGCTAGCAAATTTACGTCTCGCCGCCGAACTCGCAAGTGGAGGGCTGAAACGTTGTGGAATAGAGTGACGGATTTCCGCCACCGGTATAGAGAGTTGAGTTTTCTTCTAAAACTTCGAGTCATAAGCTGTGTTGAATTTAGCCTATTAATTGGTGAGATGCTAATTCCCCAACTGCCAACCTTATTATCGGGCTTTCAATAGTTGCCGACTTAATGGTCTGATCGGGACTGGTCCCCTCAACGGTCTCTATATAACGTCCCAAGCATCTCTAGAATATCACAGGCATTCTTCTCCAGTCCTCTTTTGTCACCCTTGAACCAAATCCCCCATACGTCGTGACTTCCCTTTCTAGTACCATGGCCACGAAGACTCAAGCCACGACGGCATTCCTTCTTTTGAATCTATTGTTCTGCACATTCACCTCTGCCCAAATCCCGGGCCTTCCCGGCATTCCTCTGCTTCAGTGCCCTCTCTTACTCCTGGAAACAGCGGTCTGCGGTGTTCTACTCAACCTCATCAAAATCGGAAATTTCACCGCGGCAGCTAATTCAACTTGTTGCGCTTTGTTAGCACCTCTGACGAATAATGTGGCGGCCGACTGCCTATGCATCTCCATAAAGGCTAATTTGCTTGGTCTCAACGTGAGCATTCCTGGTGACATTAATCTGATTCTTAACTCCTGTGGCAAGAATATCACTATCCTGGGTTGTCCATAGTTTGTCACAGCACAATGTGTGCTTTCTCATGTATCCTGGGCCGCCCTATGTGGTTTCCCCTACTGTGGTTTCTCTGTGGTCTACGTCTGTCTTGTTTCGTAATCTAACGTCAACTGTATGGGGGGTAAGGGAGAGACTCTGGTCTCATCTTCCTGAACCCCACTCGTGAAAGAATAATTATCCTCTGAATAAAGATATTTTCGGTGCAATGTGTCTCAAACTACGTCCCCCCCTCCCCCCCCCCGGGTCCCCCGTCCCTCAGAGCAGGGGTCGTTTGTCGGACTTCAGTCGGGGTAATCCTCCAACTGCGCTGTTTCTAGTGTTGTCCATTTGAGAGCGAATGACGTGCGCACCCTCAAGCGGGGAAAGCGTTGAGGAAGGATCCACCGTTGTTGCAGTCTTATGGTTGGTTGTGTGGCACGACATGCAACGGAGTACCACCTCACCATACGCGACTAGGCTGATGTCCATTACACAAGGTCCCTGATGCGTTTCTGCCGAGAAGTAACTCTAGATGTCCATGTGGGCGGTGTAGTAGCCTCGTCGTGAGTAGCGTCGCATACACGTAGGCTGTTTGCATGGCTTGTAGGATTGGATAAGGAAGTTAAGCATCACATTCTTTCTCACTTTTGTCACCCTATATGTCAGCATCAATGAAGGTTGATGTTGATGTGTTGGCTCTATTGCTACTCTCCCAAGTTCTATTGCTCGAATTAGCTCCAAAGCCTCAACGCTGTGCCAGGCTTGCATGTGGATGCCACTGATGTTTATAAGAGACTTCTTCACATGCCTTGCCTTGCCTTGCCTTGAAACAACGGGAACCAGCTTATCTTCAATGAAGAGAAGAAGTGTCATGCCTTTTCTAGGAAATTGATTGAAATTGGTTGTGGGTTCTAACGTTGATGAACCAATGCTTGGATGAAATTTGAGGTGTAGGTCCAAATGAATCCTATTAGAGATCTGTTGATAGTCAACCATGATTTATCCCATACTAATAAGAGTGGTTCTGAAGAAGTCAACTTACCAGGTCTTTTCATCTGGTCCATTATGAATAAGTCTAGATTGACTTGCTTCCTAATTCGTAACGTAATGGATAAGGAATGGTGGTTCTTTTGTTGCCTTGTTAAAGCTTTCTGCCTATATGAAACTGTATGGTGAAGAATCATTGGAATCCATGGTAGTTGAGAAGCACGATTATGGGAAACAATGGTAGGATATGCAAGACTCGTCAAAGATTACATCTCAGATTCCCATGATCATGACTAAATATCATTGTGTTCAAATGGGCTAGATGGACTTGTTGCCAAATATAGAATATGTACACCTTGGGATATCTTTTACATTTGACAGAGGTAGTAAGACAATTCAGCAAAAGTGATGTCAAGAATAGTGATGATGAGATTAATAACACAGTAGAAAAATGATAAGTAGAAAGAGGAGAAGAAAAGATAACAGTAATAGTCATAATAATAACCACAATAATAATAATAATAATAATAATAATAATAATAATAATAATAATAATAATAATAATAATCGTTATCATCATGGGCAGTAGGAGCGGCATCAAGAAGAAGAAGAAGAGGAAAGAGAAGTCTAAGAAGTGGAAGGAGAGTCGGCAGATGGAGAGAAGGCGTAGTCGTCTTCTGATAAAAGTGGCATCACCAGAGGTCGTGTGTATATTTGTTATTACGTGGCAAAGAAAGGGCTGATCGGAAGTTTTCTTCTCGTGATGAGGTAAGACGAATAATAATTTTTTCCCAAGCTATTTGGGCTGGACGGGGAAAGTTGCTGCCCCGCCTCACCTAGGTCTCGCTGTTTCCCTTCTGGTGCGATTTTGACTCCGCAAAGTGTTGCACACTCATCCGCGGCCCTTTCTGCTGGCTGCAATTTTTCTCCGTCTGTCCCTCCCTTCGCTGCAGATTATTCTCATGGCTTCCGAGCAGCAGTTGGCGGTAGTTAAGGTGATTCTTGGATCTCGTCCTTTAACGCTACTCTTATGTCTCAAAAACTTGTTATGAGGTTGGTTTTCGTTCTGATTGGGGATGGAGGATGCCGACGAATGCACATTCAGGGCTCGCGAGTGCTCATGGTGGGAGCGGGCGGCATCGGCTGCGAGCTACGCGAGACTTTGGCGCTTCGAGGACATCCGCATCGTAAGAATATCTCATCGCTTCTCTGTTCATGCCAAAAGTGTGGATACGGGAAATCTTCTGAAGGTTTTTATTTAACTTCATGCCAAAAGTGATGCCTTAAATTGAACCACGAATCTTGTCCAAATCTTGGTGGAATGCTCTTGTAAGCTTCTTCTAGATCACCATGTAAGAATGCATTCTTCACATCATACTATTGAATTTGCCTACTAAAATGAGCTGCTGGTGATAGTCAAAGTCTTATAGTGCTTATTTTTTGGCCACTCGGGCAGATGTCTCACGAAAGTCAACTCCATAGGTCTGGGTATAGCCATTAATAACTAATCTTGTTGTATCATTGAGAGAGTCACTAAAGTCATTAAACTTATATTTCATGGTGAAAACCGATCTACAGCCTACCAGATTATTTCTCTTTGGTTGCTCGAAAATTTCTCATTTTTCTCACAAGTAACAATTACCCGAATGGTGCTAAGTATTTAATGGTCATTTTTTCTAAGCATACCCATTTTGTTGTAGTGTATTTACAAAAGAAGATTCATGAATTATGCCTTTTTTTTGGAAATAGTGAGAGAGAGATTGGTTAAAGTAACTCCATGCATTCCCTCTTGGAAATAAAGGCTGCAAAAAACGACTTAACACTGCAAAGAAGGCACAGGGAAACCCCAGAAAAGAGGCTAGGACTCCGATACCATCACAAAAAGCAGAGAATTATAGCTTCTTTTTTATCATATATCATACTAATTGAGACAAGTTAGTATGTAGCTTAATGTACGAGAAAAGGGACGAGGAAATATCAAACTAAATGAGGAAATTTCCTGAAGCTGACTATCTCCTGATTTAAGGGATCAGAATAAAACTTTCGTAGCTATATATATGCTTATTTTGTTCGTAAAACCACGTATGTGACGACTGTTCACTTGAATATTCCCAAGTGAAACTAGGAATAGTGGCATCAACATTCGTGCTCCTGTTTTAATTTAGAACGGCAACTCTATCAGAACATTGGAAATAATCAATTGACAGCATTGAATTATGGACACAATTGAAATGAGCAATCTCAATAGACAGTTTCTGTTCCGACAGCATCATGTGGGAAAATCTAAGGCCAAAGTATATCCTGTCGTATATTAGCTTCAGGTTATCGTTGCATACTTTCTGTAGTGCATCAAATTGACTGGCTGCACCTGGAATCATCTTATCCTTCCTTTTGCGCAACTGGTTGCCCGAGATGCAGTTTTGAAGTTTAGGCCTCACATATCTATCACACCTCACCATGCTAATGTCAAAAGTCTGGAATTCAATGCAGATTTCTTTAAGCAGTTCAATGTTGCGTTGAATGGCCTAGATAACTTAGATTTCTTTCATAATATCGATCATTTTCTTATGCCTGCCTTTTTTTGTATGCAAGATTTCTAAGCAGCCCTTCATTTTATGTGGGACAACTACGTAGCTTGAGATTCTTTTTACCTTGTCCTTGCATTCTGCCTTTCGATTCCTTGCTTTTGGGTGCCACGACATTGAAATCTGCTCTATCTTAACCTCTCGTTTTATTTGTTACATTTCTTGCAAAAGAAAAACATTTCACTTAAACTTGACTGAAAGTTATGGGGAGTCTGACTTTATTTGACTCTGTGATTCATTGGATGGATGTGGGTTTCAAAGGACAAATAAAAAACGGAGTCACATCAAGTTGGACTCCCCATAATATTCATTCGAATGCAAGCGAAATCTAGATTTCTTATAAACACATTGTAAAGAATTATATGCACTGGATGATGGAGCATTCATATGCATGTTAGCCCTGTCTGCACACTTTGTTTCATTCTCGACATCTACTGAATGAGATTTTTTTAATAGAATTGTAGAATTTTCATGTGAATGTTTTCTTGGCCTAATTATTTCTTATTACATTAAATTACCGCATCCTTACTTTGAAAACAAAGACTCCTGTTTGATAAAACGCTTCAAAACTTGATTTTAATATTGTGCATATGACAAATGCAGATGAGAAAAAGGAGAACAGTATTTTAAAGCACACGCCAATTTTATCTCAGAAACTGCCAACTGAATATTAGGGACGAATTTGATATATTGCACCTGACTTTGGAGTATCAGTTTTCGGAGCGTAATTTGTCAGTTACCACTACAATGGCGATGCATCTGCATGTTTATATGACGGCTAGTTGGGTGTTTAATTGAATCTTTATCTTTTCTAAAACTCAAGCTCCTTTTTCTTTTAAACGGAACCGCCAGATTTCAAAGTTACCTTCCAGGCTAAGTATTTTTTGCATCAGCTGATTCCAGGCTAGACGTGATATTTTTATTGTCTTTATCCTCAACCATAGGGAGTACCAAACATGAAAGAAAATAAGGAAAATAATCAACAAGTTGTTATCCTCAAATATCATCTCAATCTTCCTCTTGACATCATAATCTTATGCATATTTCAGCATTTTTATATAGACACATCTAGCAAAAAATCAATAAGTTGTTATCCTCCTGACATTTTCGCAACACTAACCATGTGAGACTGTTAAGTCCCAAAGGCCCAACCTGTAGTAATTCTGGTATCAGAACTAGTGTTAATGGCAGTGATTTCAATATAAGAGGAAGATCTAATGATTTAGATATAGTTCAACCTGATTTAATAAGAATCGTTGAGGCCCAACATTCTTTGCAATCTAATAGGACTTAAGAGTCATTGAGGCCCAAACTACAACACAATTCAAAACTCAAAGAGATAATAGGGACTCATGTAGCAAAACACACAAAAGAGGCCTAGGTCCTAGGGAATTGAGCTATAAACAAGAAGGAATGTTAAAAGATGGCTCAAAACCTAATAGGCCCTAGTAAAGTATGAGAAGGCTACAATCTTTATTAATCATTCCAAGTTCTTTATATATATATATATATATATATATATATATATATATATATATATATATATATATTATTGAAAACTTTATTATTATTTTCTTTAGAATTAGTCAAAGTTTCATTTTCTATCATTTCAAAATATGTTTTGATTCTATTCAAACTTTATATAAAGTTACCCTCTCTTTGCTTGTGGATTCAAGCATCCATTGTGGACTGAAGGATTTACCATCTCCGCTCCATTGTGTAGAAAGGACTCTTAGATTTTGCTTATAGAATGTTCATAAATGTATATCGAATGAAATTCCTCCTAACATGATGTAGAAAAATATTACTGAAATTAAGAAAAAGAGCAGACGTGAATAGGATTACAAGATGTCAGGAGGAGGGACCGCCCATCATTGAAGGAAGCTTCATTGCTATGCATCCCAAGGACACTACTCCCAACAACTCTCAACATGCCACATGCCAAAGGTGGTACGACCCTCTTTGAAAAACCCCAGATTGGGTCCATTTCACAAAATAAGGCTGGGCCTGGAACACATAAGCCCAGCCCAACGTCATTTGGTAGGCTTCTTGGTACAATCAGAAGGGTGGATTCCAATGGGAAAAACTCTCCTACAATGCATATCTAGGTTTATCTATGTGAACCTTGACTCTAGTTGCTGTAAGGTTCACCAAGATGGGCCTTTAAACGACAAACAAGTTTGGTATCTCATATGACACATATGAATAGGCATAACCTCAAAAGATCAGTCAAATATGGCTCATATCCAAGACATAGTGAAATGGGCTTCACCCTTCTAGATTTATCAAGCATATCTCATATGATCAAACACAGTTTCGTAGGACTTTGGGTTTATCAGGTGGGTCTCGTCCCAAGCTTTGTGAGATCAACCTCACCCCAAAATTCTCATCTTCTTGCAATGCTAGAGTTTTCTTATAAAATAAAGCTCACATTTGACCTTCATTCCATGGACTTGTTAAGTGAATGCTTATCTCATGCTCTTTCAACTGAGCTTTCCTCCAAACCTTCTCAATCAAGCTTTTGTTTCGACGGTTTTTCTTGGTTGAGGTCAAAAAAAACCAATTTTTCCACTCCACGTGGACTTTGACTCTTTCTAGACGTCTTCAGGTGATGCACGCTGTAGAATTGAACAGCCATATTTGGCCAAATATCAAGCAAAAAACTCCCATGTTTCCTTCATGATATATTAGAAATGTCTCACGTTTATGGCTGCAAATGTGAGTTTAATTATAGAAAATAGCATGTCGTAGTTCACAATTTCTCTCTCCATCCCTCCATCTGCACTCACCATGCTAGTGGGGTTGAGACTCTGACAACAGAGGCCCATTTAATTTGAAGGATAAGTCTCATCACCAGTAAGCTATTGTGATGGGCCTCTATGGGCATGGGTTTCGGGCATAGGCTACGGGCATGGGCTTCCTCCTCCCACCTCCACTCGGAGACCATAGGAGGTGATTCAAACTACACTAAATATCCTTCCACACTAAACTGCTCAATGCTTTCCTGTGTTGAACTGTGAAAACTAAGTAAATAAAGATTGAATCAAATTGAAATATATGTCAACACTAGAAAACAACAAATAATCAATTGTTTTATCAATAATTTCCCACACTCACCCATCTTTGACCACACAAAATCGTCCATATTTTTTTATGAAGACGAAGAGAACCACCAGAAAAGGAGATGATGTTCAGGTCGGCTAGACGTAATAAATCATCAATTTTCATCACAGAAGTATCTACACTCAAGACACAGCTTGAATCTGAGCGAAGGATCGGATTTCTGACTCGTTGAAGACTTCTAAGGAACATGAAGTCACATGAGATACAATTTAATTATCTAAGAATCCTCAAAATTCTCGAACATCAACATATTTTCCTTGATGATGCACATATACATATATATGTTAATATATGCATATCATGTGAAGGGCATAAAAATGTATTACAAGCAGAGCGTGGTACAACAAAACACCAAGAAGAAACAAATAGAACCACCGTACAGATCGAATTGGCTCTTCGCTATTCAGAGTAAAGGGTTAAATCTTGTGTTGGCAGATTCAGAACTCGAACACACCTCGATTAAAGGAACAAATGATATCAGTGAGACTCATATATAACCAAGCAGCATTCCATATAATTGAATGAGAAGTGCTTGAGGATGTTGGTCAACGTAACCACATATCAGCGCATATAGGACTCCACATTTCGACAAAACCGAATTGTTAAAGTTGAGAGAAAGAAGTAATGATTGAGGGATACAAAGGGGGTTAAACTTGATGTTGAATGTCTGAAGGTGCTCGATGGAAACACAGAAGCAAGTGGTAAGTGACAAATGAAGGGGAAGAAGGGGATTCTCTATGCCTTTAGTCTAACTCAATGTATCCTCAAAGGGTTTAGATAAAGTGAACAAAATATGTTCCCTAGTCGTCTAGAAAGATGCCTAGCACAACTCAAAGCACCAAAAGGGTTTTGACAGGCATGAAGCTAAAGACTGTTGGTAGATAAATCTTCTCCCAGTCAAGAGTACAGTGGAGATAGATGAAGTAGGAAGGGATAATATACAAGCCAAGAAAAAAAGATTCACTGGAGTTTTGATACAACAAAGCCATTCCAAGGTTCAACTCCCACAGATGCCATTCCAAGGTTGAACTCATGACTCTACAACAACTCCAAACCGTTCCATCTAACCTCCTACTTCAAAACCATTCATGCCAATGGCAACCACTAATGTTTCCGTTCCGTTTTCTGGTTTTCCTCACCTTTCTTATTCTTGTATCCTACTCCTTACCCACCAACATCTAGCACCAATAGAACATGGCCTGTACTTAGCTTCATACTCAGCAGAGTATTTAGGATTCCTCTAATGTGTAGAGTATTTAGGATTCCTTAGTTTTTTTAGCTAGAGAACTGTCGTTGTTCACTTTCACTGACCAGTAGGAATGCACATGTAGAATCATTGGGAACATGTAGAGAAATAGACGTCACCATTGGCAACATAGAAGACTGCAGAACATTAGGCTTTTGAAAACCACAGGATTAATTTACATAGGGCTTGAAAGCTAAAACAACAAAGGACTATGGAGCCTGATTGATAATTGTAAGCATGAATATTGATCTCCAATGTCATTCACGATGATAAAGAAAGTAAGTAAAATACGGTTGGGAAGCTTCTTCGGCCTCTGCTTTCTCCCTTAGAACCCAAACTGTTGTTAATTTACGCAAGAAGGCGATCTGTAAACGAGAAGAACTACTTTTCTTGAAAGAGATGACCACAAGACGCAAAGATCAGCATATTCGTGCGGGAAAGGACATTGGATTAGTCGAGTGCAAGTCTTGGAGGGAAACAAAAACTCACCGTGTGCCAGCTACTGTCGATGAAAAGATTAAACAAAGCCTCAAATCGCTAACCACCTTGTTCTGCAACGAAGGAAAGAGTGAGATCAAGTGCCCAAGACGATAATCATTTGGATCTTAAAATCAAAGAATTGGACTGACCGGAATCCTATGCAATGACAACAATCCAGAACACCATCATCCCCTCAGCAGCCGCACACAAATCCGCCATCGGTCGAACGGAATTACAAGAGCTTCGTCCCCACCGACGAACCAAAATCGACCGGTTAATTCTTTTTCGCCGATTTCGAGTAGGAACCAGACCGCGACCGCCGGAAGAGAAAAGAGGTTCGCCTTTCGCTCGCCGCTGGCCAGCGGAGCTCCACTGTTCCGAGAACAAAGTCTCGCCGCCTATCGTCCGCAGAAGTTCTAGAGAGATGATAGCGAGAGAGAGAGAGAGAGAGAGAGAGAGAGGTAATCGAGACGTCCCCGCGGCAGCGGTTGCCGACGTTAGAAAAATCTCAACACGTCACGTTCAAATTCGAAACCAGTCTAAAAAAGAGGCAACAGCTTCAAACGCCAACGGTAAGTGGTCCCCACCCCTTGGTGAGATATTATATTTTATCAGTTGTTTTATTAATTAATATGAGCTTCATTATTTATTCTGTATTTATTAAAACCCCATTTTTATCCACGTCCCCACCCGGTGCTTGAACGCGTCAGGTCGCTTTTTAATGTACTAGATGAGGGTACATACACAATAATTTTATAAAATGTGGACTAGTCGCAAAATTTGTAAATCAGCTTATGGGTCCCGTTGGCGGGCTATCTCACTCCGTTCGCTGATGTGATCGGACGGTTGCCAGGGGAGCACCAGGAAGGTGCACCGTAGGGTAAAATATATCTGCGGGAGACGATACTTAGGGAGTCCTCGTTTATACCGCCAAAGCAGGCGCTTTCCCGCCCAGGAAACCCTCGGGCTGTCGAGAGCCCCGCTCCCCCAATCCAACGGTTGCCGTCCACCTGAGTTGGGCGCTCGGCGCACGTTAGAGAAGCCCACGCGCACGTTAGAAGGCCCGTCCCAAATGAGCTCCCCTCCCCATCTTAAGAAGAGCGACCACGAGGGAGTGGAGGAGAGAGAAACGAGTCGTCCTCATCCTCCCGCCGTCGCTGCTGGCTTCCGCCGTAGCCATCCCCCTGGCTTCTCTCTCTAGAACTTCCACCTCCTCTCGCATCTGTGCCTCTCTGTACAAAGACCGGCGTGGTGGCGTCGGTGATGGTTATGATAGAGCTCTCGGAGTCTGAGAGACTGAGGGCCATGCCGCCGCCCAATTTCTCGGCCGCCTTCGCTACGCCCTCCCTCCGGTGGGCCTGCAAGAAACGCCTCCGCTGCCTCCACCCCGACGCCGCCGCCGCCGCCGGCCGACGCTTTTCTTCATTCGACGACGACTGTACCACCACCACCACCAACAACAACCGAGGGTGCGGCGGCGCCACCGCCGCCTCCCGCGCGAAGAGCTCGCCGTCCCGCCGCGCCGCCTCCCCGCATCGTCACTCCAGCCGCAGCAAGATTCTGAACCATTTCCCTGGCCTGAGAGATGAGTCTGACGATGGGGACGAGCCACTGGTGCTCGCACCTGATCTGTACGGAGGAACGAGGGACGAAGCTTCTCGACGGGTCATGGAGGCGGGGGGCCGCTCGCTGCGCTCTGGCTTCCGCAACGGAGGCGAGAAGGGCAAGAAGAACCGCCGGGTTGAGCTCTGGGTCTCCCTCTCCAGGGACGAGATCGAGGAGGACTTCCTCTGGATGACGGGAGCCAAGCCGCCGCGCAGGTCCAGGCGGCGCGACAAGGGCACCTTCGACCATCTCCTGATGGTGAGCCTCCTGTTATTCCTTCCGCCGCCGTCTCCGCCCCTCTTCTCTCTTCCTCCCTGCCGGATACCGATATGTGTTCCTCTCTCTGCATTCTGGTAGGCTGTGTTCCCCGGCGCGTGGATGCCGAACAGGATCTCCGCCGCCAGGTACCGGGTGCCGGAGCCATCGGATCCCAGGAAGGTGAGCACAAGAGATGGCTCCTGATGCTTCCCAGCTTCTCCCACCGCGGAGCTCCCCCCTGATCTGACGCCTCTTGGTGTTTCCTCCTTCGTGATGACCAGGAGCAGATCACCGTACCTTAGCAAAGAAGAAGCTCGCCGATCTCAGCCATCGTAGTCTCTCCATTCCCGAGCTTAGCAAGGAAGCTCAGCAGAGGAACTGACAGCTACCGCTTGAGGTGGAGATCGAATCATCTTCGATCAATCCTGGTGGGCGTGTCCCCTCTGTCTCTGTCTATCTGTATCTCTCTCCCTCTCTCTTCCCCAGTCTCGTTCCTTCTCCCTCTCTATATTCCCTGATCCCCTTTCTCAGCTCCGATTAAAATTTATTTTGCTTGATGTACACCACTGACGACGGCTCGATCAAAAGAAGTCCAGTCCTACCCGACTCACCCAGTTTTCTCCACGGTTCAGGCCGCCGCAACGGCTTCTCTCCTTGCTTCATCCGCCATCTTCCTGCATCTCTGAAATTAGGGTTCAGAAGAACAGAAAGAAGAGGAAACATCAGTAGTGATCTCAATGATCGCGCAGTTTCGTGAGATCATTAGAGATGTCTTCCTATCTGATCCATCTGCATCCCATCGCTGGTTGCGGTCACATCTCGCCGGTAAGAGGAGCTGCCGGCCGCTGGAAGCGAAGAGTCCGTCGGCGCGGATCCTGATCGCCGGCGGGGTGTGAAGAAGTCCGCCGGCTTTTGCGGCGGCCGCTCACCGAACCCTAATTCCAACTCACGTGTCTATTCTGATTTCGCCGTATTATAGGCACTCATGAGGTGTATTTATAACAAACTATGCTCAAAAGGGTTTATTTGCAACACTCCCGTTTTTGTGGACACGATCGATCTGCAGCGGGACCCAGTACATCCAACGTAGGGCCGCATTTCCTCCGATCATCTATACGTAGCGTTGCATATTGAGATGGTGCTCATCACAGAGAGAATGACAGTCCAAACCCCACTCCTGGGAGACAACGGATCTTACGTACTCAGGTCGCGATTTCGAGGCTCTACCCACCATCCAGCTTATCGGCGGGCTCCCGCCAAATTCTCCCCTCTCTTTCTCTTTCTCTCTCTCTCTCTCTCTCTCTCTCACCATCGATCTTTCTTTCGTATCTCCCCCCTCCCATCCACTCAGAATTCCTCCGCGCTTTCTCCGTTGGCCGGAGTTGAGTGGAGTTCTCCTCGCTGGTTCCTCTCCGGCGCCGGCTGCTTCCACTCCGATGCCGTCTGACTCACGGGATGGCCGGGGGCGCTCTGGACTTCTGCGGCGCCAAGGTGAGCTCCGTGGTGTTCTGCCCCCTTCCCGCAGTTCTCACGGCGGCATCGGAGGAGCTCAGCGTCCTGGTTCGATCTGCAATCTCCATTGGTGGACGGTAGTTGGCACTAAAACTCCACGGGCGCGGCAGAGAGAAGGGAAATCAAGACGGGGAACAGCCGACGATTCGCGCCGTCGGTCCGACAGTGGAGATGGCCACCTTCGATCTCGCGGAGAGGTACTCGCTCCACGCATCAGCCTTCCCTCATCATTCCTTTCAGAATTTCCGCAGCGTTGCTTCCCTATTCGCATCCGATAAAGTCCACTTAAATCTACAAAATTATTTTTCCGGTTTCCAGATTACGTACTGTTTTTCATCTGGTCAATGTGGATCGGGATTGAATGAAGCGATTTAATCGTGTCTAAAAGCACGAATCAAAGCAATGCAAGTCTCAATCGGAATCACGGCCATTGGCCTCTCTGATTCCCGATATCGATCTTTGGAATTTTCGGAAGTCCGTTCGATCCGAACGCTTCATAAAAGTAATCAAATATCCGTTTAGATGATCAACCCTTGTGAAGTTCTTCATCGTCCACGATTCGACTGCAGGTTTCCATAAGGAAAGTGAATAGTTGATGATAGTGAACGAGCCAGTTGGATCAGATGCGTAATTTCTGCGTGGTCTTTACTTGTAAAATTTAATAAAACCCGCACTTGCACCTTTTGAAATCCATGGATTTCCGAATTCAGAAATGTACTCTCAAGATCTTGAAACAAAGCTAGGAAACCCACCTCTCTCTCTCTCTCTCTCTCTCTCTCTCTCTCTCTCTCTCTCTCTCTCTCTCTCTCTCTCTCTCTCTCTCTCTCTCTCTCTCTCTCTCTCACTCACTGGCTCTCACTCTGCTTGCCGTTAGGCCCTCTTAACAGTCGCCGGGTAGAGTGGTGGTGACAGAGCTTCCCGAGCGCAGACATGTCGAAGTTCTCACCGCCCACCTTCTCTGCTCCTTTCGTCGTGCCCTCTTGGGGACGGAGGAAGTCCCGCAAGATCTTGTCGTCCATCGAGGGCACCGACTCTAGCCCCTTCCTCGAGGGCGATCCCACACCAGTCCAGCCGCCGGTGACACCAGAGGCCCTGCCGCCGCCGCGGCCACCACCGGCGACACCAGAGACGGCGACGCCGCCGGAGGAGGGGGAGGACGCAATGAAGGTATCTACCCGGGACTCCGCCACTTCCGTCCATCAACATTCTTGATCGTTGGCCTCATGACCTTCTGGCCAAAATTCTCTTCCATGGAGTCGCAGGAATCCCAGGAGATGAGGGTGGAAGAAGGCGAGAGGAGGGCCAGCATCGAGAAGGATCTCTTGTCCTACATGGCATCACCGGAGTAGGCAGGAAGGCGGTGACCATCCCGCCGCCGTGACCAGGTATGCTTCTCCCCGCCCCCACCTCCCTTCTGTAAATTCCTCCGCCAGTTTTTTTAAAATCCTGTGAGAGAGCTCCCGTCCACCATCGCCGCCGAGAGGTACAAGCTTCTCCAACCCTCCCTTCCACTACTTCCTCCTCTCCGAGGGACCTTCTCTTGGTGCTTCTCACTGATTCCCCTCTTCTATTCTCTCCGTGCAGGCCAGGTAACTCCACCCGCCCCCTCGCCGTCTGGTTCCTGAGAAGGAAGGATTCCTCCTCCCCTTCCCTCCTCGCCTCCTTATTCTGATCAGCTGAGCTCCCCTCTTCCTCGGCCATGGTCCTCCTGGCTCCGTACCTTCCGGAGCGGCGCCGCCCCGCGACGGCCGTGGACGCGGCCGGTCACGTGACCGTTTCGGCAGCGGTTGCGGGGCGGGCAAGCCCAGCGAGGCCTCCAGCCAGCAGCACAGACTTTTCCCTCCCAAAAAAAAAAAAGAAAAGCCCCCACATTTTCCGTTCGTCCGATCCGGAGGCCGTCCTCCGCACGCGCACGTTAGCACGCGCCCCACTCTAACGGAAACCCACTTTTCTTCCCAATTTGCCGATCCCCCTCATCTTTACTGAATTAGAAACTCACCCTCCATAATAATCAATCACCTACCGCTTTTCATTAAGAATAATAGTGGTACACTTGCGGGCGGGTGATCCGTCGAACATTTATGGGGAGGGCCGGCGGCGAAGGGTTAGATGGAGATTACTTTGAAGGTGAGAATTTGAATTACAAATGACTGATTTCTAAGGGGGTAATATAAATATGCCATTAAAATAAATAATAAAGTAGAACACCCCCGCGAACCCTGTGGCCTCCCTCCAGTCTTCTTCTTCCTCTCCCTCCTCTTCTCTTCCCCCGTTTCTCTCTCTCTCTCTCTCTCTCTCGCAAGCTCGCTCGCTCTATTCTTCTCTCTATATTGCTCTTATTGCTCTCTCGTGCTGTGGGAATGTCGAGGACGATAGAGCTCTCGTGGTCGGAGATGCCGCGGGCGCTGCCCCCGCCCAACTTCTCCGAGCCCTTCGCAGCGCCGTCCCTGCGCTGGGCCTGCAAGAAGCGCCTCCGCTGCGTCCATCCCGACGCTGCCGCCGTCCTCCGCCTCTCCTCGTCTCCGCCGGAGCCCCGCACCGACGCCGCTCCCCTCGGCTGCGACGACGGCGGCCGGCCGCCGGAGCCCGGCGCTGCCCCCCGATCGCCCTCCCCTCCGATCCGCCGCCCCTCCCCGACGCCGGCGCTGGAGCCCCCCGATCTGCCCGGAGGCGGGGGGCCGGGGTGGTCGCTGCGGTCAAGGAGGGGGGCCGTGGGTCGAGGAGCGGCGGAGGAGTCGAACGGGACGAAGAGGTGGAAGGTGGAGCTCTGGGTGTCCCTCTCCAAGGACGAGATCGACCGTGACTTCCTCCTCCTCACCGGCTCCAGGCCCCCCCGCCGCCCCCGCTGCAGGCCCAAGCCTGGATCCACCCACCTCCTCAAGGTACGCTTCTCTCTCTTCTTCTTCTTCTTCTTCTTCTTCTTCTTCTGCTTCTGACGGGGGTTTCTCCGGCGGTGGCAGGGGATCTTTCCGGGCTCCCGTCTGCCGAACGTCATCGCCGCCGACCGCTACAAGGTCTCCGCCGATCCCTCCGATTCCAGAAAGGTAACCCGAATCCTCCCGCTACCCACCTCTCCACGAACACTGCAGAGGGTTCTTTAATTTCCTTCCACTTCTTACTGTCCTCTTCCTTCGTGCAGCGTTGAAGAAGCTCAGCCATGGCCCGCCGGCCCTCGCGGGTGGGTCTTCTTCTCCTCCGCCTTCGCCGACCACTCTTTCCCTCGATGTTTCGGTCTCTCTCGGCTGCGGCAAAATGCTCCTCGTCCTCTCAGAACAGACTTTGGAGCGTCTCGCCTTCAATTCCTCCCGCCGTAAGTCTTGGTGAAGCTCAGGTCGGGCTTTGACCTGAGCTGGATTTGACCACCCCCCCTTCTTTCGTCGGATTTTCCCCGCTTTGACTTCTCCAAATGTCCAAAGACCCTACGCTTTTCCTTTTTCTTATTATTTTTTTATTTTTAACTTTAATTTTTATTTTTTATTTTTATTTTTTGGTGGAGACCAGAGAGAGTGGACCAAGTATATGTGTATATATAACCCTCTTCTGAGGTTGAGTCATATGTAAATATTTCCATTTCTGGGGTTTCTTGGGTCTCCCCCGCGCACGTGCGGACAAGAAGGATTGTCGAAAAGGCCGACGACTCGTCGGGGTCAACTGGCACCGTGCCTGTGGACCCCCCCCCCCCTGAAGCCGACGTGGCAATCCATCGAGGCCTTTGCCGTACGGACATTCAAGAGAGCGCGACGGAGGGGAGTAGCCAGCCACGTCCACGCACACGTCACGTCCTCACGTCACGGGAGCCGCCCGGGCCCGACCGGCCGGCTTACTTGACCGGCCCGGCCCGCGCCCCCGCCACATTATCGCCTCACTGTAATCAGATACAAATAAAGGATAGAAATATAAATATAATATATACAACCAATGGGTATCCTTTAAGAACCCTAGCGGCCCCCTCCGTCTTCCTCGAGTACGACGTGTGGGCATGCACAGGCCGGCCGGCCGACCGGACGGAATCGCCTCAGGCGGCCGGCAGATCGACCATGACGGCGCCGCCACAGCCGGAAGCGGGAGGAGAGAGAACGAGGGGAGAAGAGATTTTTTGGGGTCCCGTCCCCGTTCATCGTCCCCCTGGCAGCGGCGCCGGCGCCGGCGGCGGTGAGGAGGGCAATCAATGCAAGTCAAGGTCGCCGGGGTTCTGGTCCTGCCCGGGGAATAATAATTTGCAGAGGAAAAAGGAGGGGGGAGAAGGGACATGGAGGAAGCAGTGTACATGGACGGAGCCCCAGCCGGGTCGTAGATCGCCGCCGGTGGCACGCAGAGGACGCGAGTCCACGGCCATGGGGCCGAGGCGACTCTCTCTCTCTCTCCCTCCCTCCCTCTCTCATGGTTGCAGGGGGAGGGGGTGGAGAGGGACAATCGCCGCCGGGATGGAAGGAGCTCCGCAGTCGAAGGAGGTCTCGCCGGGAAGGAAGAATCTCTCGGCTCCGGCGAGAATCTCTCGCGTTCCCAGCGGGGCTCAGGTCGGCGGTAGCGGCGGCGCCTCCGCCACGAGGTAGGTTTCCGCCGTCACCTCCGACAGCCACAGCCCCGGGAACACCATCTGCGGAGAAAGCAGAAGAGATCAGGAGGTTGTTGAAGCGGAAGAGGAATCGAAGAAGGAGGGAGGACTCGAGAAGAGTACGTCGAGCTGCTTCTGGACGGCGCGGGGGCGCTTCTTGGGGCGGCGGGGGGTGCGCCGACCGGTGAAGGCGTAGAGATCCTCGTCGATCTCCTCCTTAGACAGCGGAACCGAGAACCGGGGTCGCCGCCGCCGCGGCGCCGCCTCCCTTCTCTCCGGCCCGCCGTTCCTCTGCCGAGTCGCCGGCTTCGGCGCCGGCGGAGGCATCTCCCGCGAGCTGGGTTTCTGCTGGCTCTGTCGCGGGCCCCCCGTCGTTGACCTCCTGGTCCGGAGGCTCCATGGAAGCTCCTCCACCGCCGCCGCCGCCGTCCCCGGCACCTGGTCCGACAAAACTGACGAAGTCGCCACGGGGAGCGGCGACTTCCGGGTGGCGTCCTTCTCCTCCGCCGCAGAGGCCTCCGGCGGCGGCTCCCTCCGCGCCGGTGGCGGGGGCACCGCCGGTGGGAGCTCGATCCGGCCGGCGGCCTGGCGGAGGTGGTCCATGAGCTTTGCCCTGATCCGCTCCAACCTGTCGTCGCCGGCGGCCTCGCTGTGGTGGCCCCGCCCCGAGAGGAGAGGCGACGACGACGGCGGCGCCGCCCCGTTCCCGGCGCCGGCGGACGACCTCTGGAGCTGATGGCGCTCGCAGGCCTTGAAGCCCGGCGTATGAGAGAGGCGGGATCGAGGCTTCCCCTTCATTGCGGCCGCCGCCACCGCTGCCGCCCGCAGGGGTTCTCCGCCGAGCGACGACGATGACGCCGCCGCCGCCGCCGCCGCCGACGACGACGACGACGACCCCGCCGCCACCGCCCTCATGATCTCCACCGCCGCCCTCGGCGCCTCCCTCGGGAACACCATCTCCACCTCCCGCCGCCGATCTGCACGCCACTGGCCGTCAGAGACCAACCTACTCCCGTCGGAGCTGCACAGCGGTCACAGCCACAGAGAGAGAGAAAGAGAAGAAGAGAGGAAGAGAGAGAGAGAAAGAGAGATGGCGGCAGGTTCCAGTCTGGGATCGCCGGGGGTGTTTCTCAAAAGCCTTTATACCAACTCGAGCGGGACTCGCTTATACACGGTTTAGAGAGAGTCATCCATAGCATATGGTAACCTCCGCTGCTGGTTACCGTACAGATTCCGATTAGCGCTCGCGTGGAAAGACAGGTGGGCCTCGGGGTGGTCCGCTAAACCGCGACGCAACGGGAGTCGTCTCGCCCGGGCGACGACGGACTGGAAGGGGGTCTGGAAGCGCCAAAGCCGACGTAGGAACAGTATACGCCGCGGTTCTTCCCGAAACGAAGACCGTATGCGTCGCGTCTCTCCGAGCGCACGGCGAAAAGATCTCTCCGGTGGGGGCCACTCGTCGGGATCCTGTCAAATAAAGCTCCTGACGTACCCCTTTCGTGCCTACACAGACGTAACATTGTTTTCCCTTCCTCTTGACCGACGCGTGGAGGAGGCCAGGGTGGCTCGCCGCTTACCGTAAATCCTCCACATCACCTTTCGGGTCCCACATGGATCGTGCATCTACGGCCCTTATCCCGATCAACGGTCCCGATCAGATCGCAAAGAAGACTGACGATCGTACGCCTTACCCGCCGCCGCCGCCGCCGTCACCGTTCGTTGAAAGTTCGACTCGAGAACTCCTCGGGATCGCCGGCCCATTTATGAAGGCCACCTTGAGACTTATTTATTTGCTTCTGTGGACAGAACTCACCATGAATTTTTTAATATAATATAATATAATTTTTACCGTTCTTAATACCCCCAGATATTCAAGAGAGAGATAGAGAGAGATAATACGGCTGCTGAAAATCCCAACCGAGCTGAATCTGATTCACTTCTATTATAAGCCCATGGCGTCCTATAGGCCTAAAAAGTCAACTGTGGGCCCATCTTGACCACAACTAGTACTAAGACGGGCATAACCTTAAATAGCCATTATTCAATGAATCTCACGGCAATCCACCGGGTGTCCAATTCTGGGTTATCCCCTCCCCCCTCATTAAATTCAATGAAGCTAGAGAACCATGCATGACCCTAAAGTGGCCTATTATCATATTATTATCACAAAAAGAGAATTATTATGATGAGTATTAGTATTATTTTGAAGACTCTTACCATTATTGGGTTGACTATTATTATAGGGGTCAACACAAAGTGTGTGGTCTTGACTTTTTAAGTTGAGAGTTTTAAAATCCAATCCGATCCAAACAGATTTAACTAGCAATGCCACCACTCAAAAAATTGATGATATTTACGCCTCATTTTGGGAAATGTTTTTGGAAAGGCTTATTTTTTAAATGGAATACATTTGTTATTTTTATTTTATTTTTCCATGCCTCATGTTGACACATTACACGGGTGTCAGCTGGGCTCAGCTGCAGTCCCTGATCAGGGTTCCAAGAAAACTGGAGGACGTCTTGGGCCGGATCAAACCCCGGATATAATTGGGCCCCGTCCAATTTATTACTATATCAGGGGAGGGTTTAAGAGGCGATTTTTCTTTCTTTTTTTTTTTATTCAAGGTAATTTCCTAAATGTGGAAACGTTGTGGACTTTTAAGGACAGTGACGGGATCCGACACGAGGCAAACTGTAGCCCCCGCCCAGAAAAATTCCGACACTCGCTATTGGCCGAGGCGGCGCCGCCGCGGATCGAACGCACCACGTGGCAGGCGGGCGGGCCCCCTAAGAACCTCAAACGCACCGAGGGAAAATTCAGTCTTTTGAATCATCCCCAGTCAATATGTTCACGTACCCCCTGGTCATAGGCTTGGATCCCAGCCACGCTTAGGTCCAAAGAGGCCTGCCCAGGTATATATATATATAGAGAGAGAGAGAGAGGGAGGGAGAGCATTCGTTGACTTCCATCAAGCACATAAATCCATATTTAGTTAGAAAACAAAAAGCCGTATCATCGTTTAGGTGAAATATATATATATATATATAATATTAAATGATTACCTATCTTATCAAAAAATAACTATAATTACCATAATAGGTCCTTTTAGTGGTTTTTAGTACGCAGTCAACCCATGATTAATGGTCAACAGTAGAGACTCCATGAGAAAATAATAATAGTAGTAATAATAATAATAAAAACCTATTTTCTCATATGACAAGTTACATATTCATGCGTTTAATTAGCCCAACTCGGGCTCATTAAATATTAAGATAATTTAGGCAAGTTTTTTGTGTCTGGTCACCTCTTCTTATCTTCTTCCCGTCTCACCGAGTGCAGCCACCGGTGGGACCCAACGCGGTGAGCGTACTCACCTTGGACAGACTCGGTCATTTTAAACGCCGTAGGCCGTCTAAGAAGCCGTCCTCACTGTGAAGTGCTATAAAGAAACCTCTCTTCGGTAGGGGAACGTTGGAGAGTGACAGAGAGACCGCCACCACCGCCGCTCTTCCCTCCTCCATCCACCTCCTCCGCCTCCGCCGCCGCCGCCGGTGGATGGTCGGAGAAGCTATTGGAATCCGGCCGAATATTCCGGCGATCTCGTCTTCCTCACCTTCCTCTGTGGCTCTCTCTCTCTCTCTCTCTGTTCGGGGGGCGGCGGCGATTGGAGGGGAGGGGTCGTTCGATGGGGGACGCGGCGACGCAGGTGAAGCGGGAGCAGGGGGCCGTTTCCTGCTCGTCAAATGGAGGCGGAGGGAGGCGGCAATCGCGGCTTCACAACTTCTCCTTCCCCTCCGTGAGCTGGGGGAGCCATCGGCTGCTCCGGTGCCTGAAGATCGATCCTCCGGGGGGCTCCCCGTCTCCCCGTGTCGGATCGGCGGCCGAGAAGGAATCCTCCTGGCCTCCGCGGTCTAGATCGTCCCCATCGTTTGTGGCCGCGCGGAGGGGGCCTAACCAGGTGGACGAGGAGGAAGAGGAGGGAGAATATCTGGCCAGGTTCAGGGATGTGGTGATGTCGGAGTTCGGGGAGACCTTTGGGAGGATCCCGATCCTTTCCCCCTCGGGGTCGCCGGCGGCGGCGAGGTGTAAAGAGATCCGGGAGATGGCTCCGTCGTCGGAGGCGGCGGAGGGGGCCAGGCCGTGGAATCTGAGGCTGAGGAGGGCCGCCTGCAATGCGCCGGCGGCGGCGATGGTGAACGTCGGATTGCACAAGGCCAATAAACAGAATCAGAACAAACACCAGAGTCCCGTCGCACAAGATAACGCGGGGACCGCGACAAATTCGGGCCGGGGGCTGAGATCGGAGGCGCCCGCGGAGGGGAAGGAGAGGACCAGATTTTCGCAGGTGCTGTCCAAGGACGAGATTGAGGACGACTTCCTCGCGATGACTGGATCTAAGCCGCCCCGGCGGCCCAAGAAGAGGCCGAGGAACATCCAAAAGCAGATAGAGGTGAGGCGACGCCGCCTATGATCGCCGTCTGCAACTTGGATTCGTCTTCCTTTCCCGGGGCTATCTATCCTTCTTCATACTTTTTCTCATCCAAAATTGTCTTCCTGGTTGATGAGTGTTCCCTTTTTCTGTACAGATGATCTACCCCGGTCTGTACCTGTGTGAAATCACGCCGGAGTTATATCGGACTTCTCAAGGTAATCCGATCAAACCCTCCCTCTCAATCTCCCCATTTCCTGATTCCTCCGTCTGGGTGTTGATGGAGGGGAGCTTCTCCCTCTTCTTCTTCTTCTTCTTCTTCTTCTTCCCCTCCCTTCCCAGATAAAAAGCAAGTGCGCTGAAGATTGCCCATCTGCAAGAGGATCATTCCAACGATTTGGGCTGTGTGCGATGGTGACATGCTCGGAATCGCTTGGTTTGATGGCAGCTGCTCTCCGTATTGTAACTCTTTGTCGATCTGTAAATTTCAGCTGAATAATAATTTATAACCCCTCCCCAGAAGTTTGATTGCATCATCATCATCATCATCATCATCATCATCATCCAGAATTCTGTCCTGCTTGTTTAATTGGCCAGCTTCTGCCGTTCCCATTCATGATTTCTACTTCATGTGCGTGCGGAAGCATCATATCAAGGTCATACAGAGTTTTTAGGATCAGGGAGTTGCCTACCCCATTTTGAGGCAGATCTGATGAAAGAACCGAGATCATCCTCCTCCCTCTGCGATTATCAACAGATTATCTACTAATCCAGAACCACCGGGGACTCTTGAGGTATTAATTAATCCACCATGGCATGCTGATCGCTCGCCCCTGGGTCTCATTCTTGGATGAAATAATCCTCGGAGCATCAGAATCGGCGCATTGGATGAACGCCGCCATTGATGCAAGATCGATCATACCCTCTGCATATTATTCCGAATCTTACGGCCTGAGAATCCCAAATTCTTTTTTTATTTTTTATTTTTGTTTTTATAGATTACCCACCTGGCCACATTTTAGGATGGATAAGAATCTCGGTATCCACATTGATTTTATATATTGACAGATAGATTGAGGACTGTTAGCATTTCATGTTCTTCTTCTACAGCTGTTGGTATCCTCTGCTCTTGGTGAGTCCACTCCCCTTCCCTGCCGGCCTGAGGGATCTTAGAGTCTGTGCTATGGGTGTTAATGGGCCGATAAAGCCCATGAGCCAGGCCAGCATAGCTGCTCTGGGCCTAGGCCTGGGCCTGGACCAGAGTTTTGTGTTTCTTTTAAATGAAGGAATCGATGAACGATGGTGGTGGGTTCGTCGTTGACTGTTGACCACGTTGACGTCGAAGGTTCACGCGTCCGCGCAGTTGAGTCAGCGTTGCCGCGGGCCTTCGAGTTTGGATTAATAGGCGAGGGCAACGTGGCTGGGAGCCACGTACGCTGATGGCCACTTTTTGCGAAAGAACCCCGAAAATGTTAAGATATTTAGAATATACCCCTCAGGGGGGGGCCCGGCACTCTTGACTAGAAGGGTGTATCCGTAAATGCTGACGAGTTGTCGTGTCCGACCGTCTGAAAAGACGTGCTGACTACAAGGCCTCACTAAGAGGCCTAGTCAACTGCCTACCAAAACAAATGGAAGCACGGGTTTTTTACAATAGAACCCATTCTTTAAAAAAATTACAATTAAATCTTATTTTTAGTAAAATTGCACTTCATAGCATAACTCCTATACATATAAATTACAGTTCATAAAGGCAGACTGCGCTGACCTCGCCTTCCTCCACCCCCTCCTTTCCTCTCTCTCTCTCTCTCTCTCTCTCTCTCTCTCCCACTCTCGCTTTGTCTCTCTGTCTCTCTTCTTCCTTGGGGTCGGTCGGGGGGTGGTGCTGCAGGAGGCCATGACTGTTCTGTTGGGAGCTCCGGAGTGGGGGAGGAGGAAGGAATGAGGAGGGGGACGGAGGAATTGGAGCGCTTGCCGTCGAATTCAAATATGTTATTCAGGATGAACATTCTGGAGACCGCCAGCGGCGGCGGGTTCTGAGCCGCGCCGCCAGTCGTACCTTCTCCCCCCCGGTGGGTTCTCCGAGGAGGCTATGATTGGATTCAAGGAGCAGGAGGCCGGAAGAACGCCGGGAGATCAGAATCGGGGGTCTCTCGCCGCCTGGTGATGGGGCTCCAGGCCTGCTGCGTGTTCTGCGGCGCGCTCCCGAGAAGGAGGAGGAGGAGGAGGAGGAACGACGGGGAGAATAAGGAGCGGGCGAAGGATCGGTCGGAGCTTTCGCCGTCGAACTGGAACCTCTTCACAAGGCTGAAGACGCTAGAAGCCGCCACCGATTGTTTCTCCGACAAGAACCGCCTCGGTCAGGGCGGCTTCGGCCCCGTCTACAAGGTTCAGGCTCCTTCCCTTCTCCTCCATCCCCATCCATTTCTACGATGAGACCGATGCTTTGGCACCTTCAACGGCCCCTGGGACGACTTCTGGTTGTGGTTCTAGGGGACACCTCCGTCGCGGGTCATCTCCGCCGCCTCCTTCGGTTGATTGACTTGTCGTCTCCGATGGAGACCGTCAACCACGATGGCCAGTCGATCACTGCTGGACTCAGCTCAGATCCCTTCCGCCGTTCACACTGGCGCCAGGCTTTGAAAGATGTGGAGTGAAATGGGCGTTGACGCGGATCATGGGCCCCGGGATCGCAAGTGGGGCTCGTTCGTCTTCCTTGCGTGTTCGGCCGGACCACAATTAGGTCTAGTCGCTGCCTTTGAATAGGATATTGGTGGGGAGTTTCGGATCGATACTGTTTGATGACTCTTGACCTCGAGGATTTTCTGTCATATTCCTCAGATCGTCTCTAGGGCCTCTCATCTCTCCCCGCTGACCATGGATGTTGACGATTCGATCGTTTCCACTGTTGACGTCTTGCCTGGTGGATGGAACAGGGGGTGATGCCAGACGGGCAGCTGATAGCTGTGAAGAAGCTCTCCTTCAACTCGAGGCAGGGGTTGAAGGAATTCATCAACGAGGTGAAGCTCCTGTTGAAGATTCAGCACAGAAACCTTGTCTCCCTCCTTGGATGCTGCACTGAAGCAGGCGAGAAGATGGTCATCTACGAATTCTTGCCCAACTGCAGCCTTGACCGCATCCTCTTCGGTCTGTACCTTCTCTCTCGCTCTCTCTCTTTGTCATGAGCGCGAGCTCAGTATTCTCCAAATTATGTGTGAGAGACTGCTGCCAAGATTATTGTTGCTCTACATAGTCGCGTGGGAGTGTTCTTCATTGTGTCTGTATAGCATATTTAATGACCAGTAAACATATTTTTTGAGTAAACTTAGTCTACTCTGCTAGAAAAATTTGCCTAATTCTAATTGGAAACGCCGGCAAGATTGTCTGGTATGAGAAGGGGACGATGATGGGTTTCATCTGCAGACAAGTCAAAGAGTTCGAACCTGCTGTGGTCAGAACGTTTTGAGATCATCAAGGGGATAGCAAAGGACCTTCTCTATCTCCACGAAGAATCCCCTGTGAAGGTCATCCACAGGGACATCAAAGCCAGCAACATCCTCCTCGACGCGAAGTTGAATCCCAAGATCTCAGACTTTGGCCTTGCCAGGCTGTTCGAGAATGATGAAACCCATGTTAGTACATTCAAGATTTCTGGTACCTAGTAAGCTCTCTCTCTCTCTCTCTCTCTCTCTCTCTCTCTCTCTCTCTCTCTCTTATGTACACTGGATCTTCTCTGCAACCCGTTGGCAATTTAGTTTTTTTCTTTTATTCCGTGGTCTCCGTTTCTAGACTCTGACCCTAATTTTGGAATGGAGCAGTGGCTATATGGCTCCTGAGTACGCATTCCACGGTTACCTCTCTGTGAAGACGGACGTCTTCAGCTTTGGGGTCTTGGTACTGGAGATTTTAAGTGGGAGAAGAAACCTTGATCGCTAGCTCGATGAAGCTCGGGCCGACCTGCTGAGCTACGTAAGTTCCTCAATCAATGTCCATCATGATATGAACCCAAAACAGTCGGCCGATCTCTACTACATATCCGATAGATTCTTATTTTTCCATCATGTCAAGGAAATTGAGGACTTCTGAAGAGATCTCAGTCCCCCTCAATCAAAATCGGCCATATCCCAATCACGTCAGGGAATTGAGGAAATCTTGAAGACGGCCTAGTTCTAAATCAATGATATGAACCCAAACGGTGGATCGATCTCTATCATAAACCTGATAAATCCCAAGAGGTCCAAGTTCCTCAAAACAGTTGATCAATCTCCAGCACAGATCTGAGAAATTTCAAAGTTCCTCAATTTGAATATAACCTTATTTCCCCTCTGTATAGAGGAATTAGTCGATTTCATAGAGAATTTTATTTTGCCTTGTGGTCTACCCTGCTTCTACTTATCTGCTCTCTTTGAGATCTCATGCCTGAGTCTTCGGCAGACATGGAGGCTGTCGGAGGAGGGGAAGCCACTCGAGATGATGGATCCAAGCTTGGCCGAGTGGGACAGCCAGGAGGCCTCACTGTGCATTCAGGTGGGCCTCCTCTGCTGCCAGGTGGTGGCAGCCGATCAGCCCGACATGGGCTCAGCCGACCTCATGCTCTTGAGTGAATTCTCTGCCCTACCGAGGATCGGGTGGCCCGGAGTTAGGGGCCGGGTGGGCAAGTGGAGGACCACCCCCAGCTCCTCCATGTCAAAGATGACGAACACATCTGGCATGCCAACCTCGAGCTCTGGAGGGGCCACCTCAAGGGCCAGCACCATAATCGATGGGTACGAGTGGTCGAAGAACTCCATCTCCAATTCTTTCAACTCTGAGGGGAGGTGAGTGCTGGATTCATTCATAGTGACCCCTAATGCGTATGTTCATTGGACAATCATGGGTATGGTGCTAGATATATATAATTTTTTTCTTCTTCCAGCTATTTTTTTTTCTCTCCTTTCCACCTTTAGTAGTTTTACTTGAATAAAGGCAGCATTTTTGGCTTAGGAGGTTCTGAGGTTTCCCTTGAAGATCTCGTTCCTCTCTTTAAGTCTTCAGCGTTTTCTTCTTCTTCCTCTTTCCCTCATTATCTTCCTTCTTCCTGTCACCCTGTACATCCAAAAGAAGAAGCTAGATGATGTCTCATTTCCTGCATGGTAAGGGAGCAAACAAGATTTGATGAAGAAAGAAGAAGATATATTAATTAAACTTTTTTCTCATTAGTGCTATTTTTTTTATTGTACACGTTCTTGATTATGCAAGAAAAACAATAAAACTAATTATATACTAATTATATAGATTTAAATAATATGCATAAGAATAAAACTATATCATACAAATGTAGTTTTGTGAATTCTCTAGTCATCTAGCTTGATAGTTGCTTGTATGACCTTCAATTTTTAAAAATCATTATGACCAACTTTACATCTTATTGAATGAAGTGTATGTTTGGAACTTGAACCTCTCTTGTGCTTGTCTTTTCTCCCATAGAGGTTGACTAGCATAGATATGTATATGCTACCATCTTCTAATTAATAGTTAAATTTTCATTTACGTTAAATTTAAGTATTTTGATGTTGACAAATAATACTAAAAAATAAAAAATGGAACAAAAATATGCTATTCTTGCACTAATACTTGGATGAAGATCTAAATGGTTAAATCGAGTTGATTTGTTGTTTTCATATATTTTTTACTCATAAAATAAAAAAATCTTCAATAAGTATATATATCTTATATAAAAATATAAGAAAAAATTTAGATTGAAACAAAAGAAAAAGATTTAGAAAGAAAAGTTCACCTAGGCCTTTAGTGGTTAACATCAGAAACTATTTCTAAGTCATTCAACTTGGTGGGTCAACACAACTATTTCTAAGTTAAAATGGAGAAGAAGGAAATGTGACTCAACTATTGCTATGTTAAAAGAGAAAATGTGTGTCTACCCATGTGTCAACTCAATTACATGCATATCAAATCTTAATGGCTAGAGAAATAAAAGTTCTCTTTTGACATACTAAATATCTTATAACAACTTAACACTCATTATAAACTCCATAACTAACAATCAATCTTCTAACATAAGATGTTAACAAAATTAGAAATTTTCATGCAAACTATATAACAACCTAGCCAAGTGGGTCAAATAAATAATTTTCATTGCAAATTTTATTGTAGGTTAATATAGGGGTCATTTCAGAAAATCTTTGATTGATTAAATCTTAAAGGTTTGGATTGTAGTAAAGTTTCTTGATTTTATAAAAAGTTATCCTAAGAGTTTTCAAAGCATGCCTAAAGACAACATTAATCCAATTACTTTGTGCTGAACCTTATCATTCTCTTTTTAGTGCAAGTACAACAAGATCCTTAGGTTTCTTTACTATGAAAGCCAATCAAATCATAGAACTGATTCATACAACTACATGGATCATTTGCAAGTATTACAATATTACTCTTGTATGTGAAAGTACTTTGTAGAGTGGTACTATTGAGGAGAAAATGCAAGCTAGTGACTTTTTTGTGTATTCATGTGTTGACCCATTTGTCAACTCACTTAATATAGACTAAAAAGAAACAACCTAAAACTACTAAAAAATAGAAAGATATTTTAGATAAATCACCATTCTCTTGGTAGTTTATCTAGCCTAATTTGGGACTAAAAAGTTAAATCCTTGCACTAGTTCGTGTGCTTCATCCTCTTTTATCTCTATTTAATTCTTTAACATAATTCATCTCTAAAAAATACATCTAATCTAAATCCAATATTAAATATTTCCAATTTGTTAAGATCAATATTCTTAATGCATCTTACTTTCAGAATAATTCTGATGAATAAAGTTCTCAATACTTGTAGTGACCAAAACACTATATTAAAATATATTTTATTTTAACCTTTGACAATACCTCTAAAATACTTATTATTTTATTATTTTAATAATTTACATTCTCATTCTTTGTGAGGAGAGAGAAAATAATATTGGAAATGAAAAGAAGATAGAAGCCTTATACAACCACCATCAAGTTAGAGTGTAGAGATCAAAAGTTCTAAACTTAGAGTAAGAGGAATTTAATTGAGGACTATTGAGAGCCGTATATTTATAAGTTGTGCTTCCGAGGACATCTCAGTCAAGAATTAGTTGAGCCTGATGCTTCTAGCATATAAAATGACAATCAACTTCAATATGTTTCATCTATTTAATAATCAAGATTATAAGTAATATGGAACATAAATTGATTGTCGCAAAAGAGACACATAAGTTGAGGATGAAAGAAGTAAAACTCTATAAAAAACTAGCATATTGAACTAAGTTTGCATGCAAGACTCTCCATAATTTGATATTCTAATTCAACACTAGATAGTACAATCATTTATTACTTCTTGCTCTTTTAATAGAAAATTTTCCTTTAGAAAGATGTAATAACCAGCAATAGAGCATTAATCGATAATAGAACTTGTTTAATCATCATTAGAATGATCATGAACATCAAGAGAAGAAGAAGACTTGTACAAAGGTCCTCAATTAAAATGTCCCTTTAGATACTGAATGATTCTCATGATTGCATCCCAAGGAATAGTATGTTGATTGATCATAAATTAGTTGACACACTTGTAATAAAAGCAATGTTAGGATGAGTCAATGTCAAGTAATTCAATCACCCCACCAAGAGACATAACTATCATAGACCTCAAAAGCATCACCTAAATTTGAAAATAACTTGACTTTTGAATCCATCAATATTTAGAGAAGTTTGGTGCCAAACATCTATATATTTTGTAATAAATCAATCACATATTTTCATTATTTGATAACTAGGCCCTCAAAAGAGTGGATAACCTCAATGTCTAAAAAATGCCGAAGTTGACTCAAATATTTGATCACCACTTTCCTCTAAAGAAAAATCTTGAAATAAGAGATACTTTGTTTATTATTACTCGTTAAAATCTGTCATCAACATAGATAATTGAAAACTAAATAATGTAACCCACAATAATGTGATGATAGAATATGGTAGGGTCAAAAGCACTATGATGAAAACTAAAATCTTGAATCAACCTACATAAATAATTAAATTAATTTTGAGGAGACTATTTCAACCCATAGATAGATTATTATAGATAGCACATAAAATATAATGAGTTAGCTAAATCAAAACTAAGAGGTTGCTCTATTCTTCTTCAAGATCACCATGAAGAAAAATATTTTTCACATTCAACTAGTGAAGAGGCAATGAGAAATGAACTTTAAGCACCAACAAGATACAAATTGAAGTAAGCTTTGCCATAAGGGATAAAGTCCTAGTATAATCTTATCTATATATTTGAGAAAATCTTTGGGCCACCAAACAAGCTTTGAGGAGATCAATATAACCATATGTAGCCATCTCGGTCGTGAATACCTAGTGACAACTCACCACAGGAGTTGACAAGGGATGATGAACTAAACATCAAGTTGAGGTACAACGAAGAACCTCAATCTCCTCCACCATTGCAACATGCCAACTAAGGTGATTTAGTACTTGAGAAATGGTATTACAACAGAAACAAAGGATGTGCTGAAAAGAAGATATGATATGATGGGGTGAGATGAGAATATGAAATAAAGTCGAAAATAAAATGTTTTGTATATGAACGAGGTACCTTCTATTATAAGGTGATTGAAAGGTTGAGGTTTGACAACAAAGATGATACACTTGAGGCTGGTGGTGTTTGGCATATAAGGAAAGGTATGGGTAGAGAATCATTTGACAAAGAAGGATCAACAGCCAAGGGGAGTATGGGTGATGAAAGAGAAACTTGTGACACATGAAGATAAGAAAAAGATGCAACTAGTAAAGAAAGAGACTTAAAAAATATCGACAAGATAGGCCCAAAGTTACATGAAGAGAGAGAAGTAGTTGTAGATGGTCTCAAAAAAGGAGATCCTTCAAAGAAGGTAACATTTGCAGATACAAAATGATAATGAGTCAAAGGACAATAACAATGGTACCCGTTTTGAAGGTGAGAATAACCAAAGATAATACATTTCATAGATTTAGGTGTAAGCTTATTCAGACCTAGTCCAAGCTGATGAACAAAGTATACACAACTAAATATGCGTGAAGGTAAATGAAAAAGAGGGTGGCATATAATTAATAAGATAGACATAGTGAAGACGGTATCCTCCTAAAATTACAGAGGCACATAGGTGACATAAGAAGGGTGTGAGTAATATGAACAGTATGATAAAACTTGAGTTCAACAATACTATTATGCTGAGGGGTATGTAGACAATGAATGTCATATTACTAGAGAAAGGTGGTCATGGGTAAGTTAAAATACTCATATGTATTATCTAAATGAAAAGTGCAGATGGTGGTGGTAAATTATGTATAAACTCTTACACAAAAAAGTTATAATGATGATAAATAGTTCAAACTGATCTTTCATAAGATATACTCATGTAAGACATGAGTAATTATAACTAAAAATAATAAAATATCTATAACTAATTATGTAGAAATATAGCTTGGACCCTAAATGTTGGAATTGACAAGTTCAAAAATGAGATGTAATTTTAGGACACAAACATGAAAGAAAGATTGCCTTATTGTACTTTCTAAATTGACAAGAGTCACACTTGGGTGTAGACAAACTTGATAAACTAAGAAACAAACATTTGAACTTTGAAAGAGAGGAATGCCCAAATCAACTATGAATTTAAAACATAGAGACACTAGCACAAATCATGGGATATAAAGGATGTAAGTAATAAAGATCACCACACACAACTCCTTCACCAATCTTGTTCCTAATCTTCAAATTTTACACAACAAAAAATTCAGAAAGAAATGTAACATATGCACTATGTATGTGGGCAAGGGAACTAATAAAAATAAGGTTGAAATGAGTTTGGGTAACATGTAAAATAGATGTAAAGGGAAGGCAAGATAATGACAAATAATTTTAAATTTTAAGAATTGAAGTTCTTGATCTATCAACAAAGATGAGTAAAAGATGAGTATGATTCAAGTCGTAGGAAGTGAAGTAGAAATACATATGAGAGATATGATGGGTGATATCTGAATCAAAGACTCATGGCTAAGACATACTAATAGATGTAATGTTGGAGCAGTATATGACTGAGTCATAGATGACTAAGATGAAGGCTAATTAATAAAAGTAAAGACTCAAGATGGTGTAGAGTCAAAGATACAACTAGAGTTGTAATGTGCTGAGATAAATACTGAACAATCATACATGCTTAGAGAACCCATTACACCTCTTCCTCAATCATGATAGAACCAAGAAGAGTAGATAGAGCCAATGGTCAAGTTGGTGGATGTGTAGTAGTCTTATTTGATGCAGCAGCATGAACATGTGGCTACCCATGAAGCACATAACAATAATTTCAAGTGTAGCACCTCCAATTGCAATATGAACACTCAAGATGTTGATCAAATTTACTATGCTTGCCATCATGTGTACCTTCATCACATCTCCGATCTTTATAGTCACAAGAATGATCACCATTAAAAGAAGTAGCAAAAGATGTGACAAAGGCAAAGGACTAAGGCGATGGAGAGGAAACTGCTAAAGTAATAGGCGTATGAGAGAAATAATGAAAATCTTCAACAAGAGAATGAACTTTTGATTCCGATAGGAATTGATTACATGCATCATTATATTATGCTAGAAGACCTCACATAAAGTTGATGACACTAGAGTAATTCTATTGACACTACATTATTGTAAAAATGACAAATAGTAGCATCAATGAAGTAAGTTCCTGCTCAACCTGAACAAATGCTCCAAAATACTCTACCAATGGCCGATGCGCCTTCTGCATCTTATAAAACTTGGCTTGGACATCATATTGACAGATGAGATTGTTGACGTAGATCAATCTAAGATGATCTCACACCTACCGACACATATCAAAGTCATGTATGATCTTATGTACATGAGACTCTAGAGAGGCTCATAAAGAGCCTAATAGACATTGATCATTATGGTTCCATTTTCAACATGCCTCAAGCTTTGTCGGTGGATTCTCCATGATGAGAGGTGATAGATTATGTCCAGCTAGATAAATATAAATAATATTGTAGGACGACTATTGCAACTTGATAAGTGGCGAGTGACGATAATCAACTCCCGATGAATAAGGAGCCGGATGCACTCTAAGCATTGTAGGAACTCCCGTAGATGTCTCCCCACCCATAGATGTTTCAGAACTCCCATAGATGTCACCCTGCCCATAGATGTTTCGGAACTCCTCAAATCGTCACACATAATGAAGAAGTAACATACGGGGGAGTCCTTAGGCACACAAACATGCCACTATTGGAGATGTACACCCGAGATGCCCTAGGACACAAAAGGGTACATATGCCCTAGGATGCGCGCTAAGGCACAGAAGACGACAGGTGGGCCCGTAAGGTCGTCTTGGGGAACGAAGGAGCCTGGAAGAGGGTTAACCAGCTGGAGGGCATTGATGGGCGTGTTGGCCATCCCTAGGAGGTGTGCTGATGTGCATGCTGGCACGTCGGCTCGCATGGGCCGCTACGTGCGGAGGCAAGGGCATGTCAAAGCATGCAAGTTTTGTGGCTGGGCACTACGCATCTTGTTTGAGGCAAGGGCGCACAAAGCACGTCGTACTACACACTATTGTGTGCAGTGATGCACGGTGGTGGCACGTCGTGCCCTAGGGCCGGCGCGTGGCACTAATGACACACCGTGCGACGACGATGCACGATGCTTTTGCGTGCGATGATGCATGGTGCATGTGTGGTCACGTGCATTGGTGGGCCGGCACTTGGGGGCGCTGAGTAGGAGAGCGACGTAGTGAGGTGGCCGTGCCCGAGGTGACGAGGAGATGGCTACCAGAGAGGACCTATGAAAACGACGATGGAGTGGTGGCTGAAGAGACGGCGGCGCCGATAGAAAACCCTAACCTGGCTTTGATACCATGAGGAGAGAGAAAATAATATTTGAAATGAAAAGAGGGCGGAAGCCCTATACATATGGGGTGGAAGTCATCTTATGAACATTTAAGCTTGGAACTCAAGGAGAATCTTATCCGATAAAATGATCAGCCCTCTAATATTTTGAAGACAAGATTTTACAATATTTTTGAAATGATCATGAATAGATAATTGATCATCCTCTATAGATATGACAACTAGCATAAGTGGTTTCTCTTGGCAGATTTTTGGTACAATATGAGAAAATACTTCTATCAACATGAATCAATATGAAGCTATCCATAGTTCACCACCTTTGAAGCTCATTTCTTTTGTCACAAGGACATCAATGTGGAATATATAGAGAGGTCATGAAGAACGAGAGAGGTTTGCCTGTAGACCTTGAATGAGAACCAATATAAAGACTCAATAATACAAAGAGTTCTTTGTTGATCCACATGTAATAGAGGGGGTGGTATTTGACATGGGTTTTTGAAAGTTTTAATGATTGCAACTTTGTGGAAAATATTTAATAAACATTAAAAATGCTTGGCATGCTTGCTTTTATGTTGTATGACCTATTCAAAATCCTCCAGATGAATGGAAGGATAAACTCTAAAATACACCTAATTATTTGCATAATCTTTTGCTTAAAATATATGGGCAACACCATAGAGTGGAGAACATTGCCACAAGAAGATAATCATGCATGCTGGTTATTTGTCATAGCTCTATCACTTCTAGGGAAAAATGATGAAATAACCAATCCCCTTTGAAAGAATCAATCTTAGGTGCATCTTCCATGTATAGTTGATGAATATTCATCACTATTATTTTTATGAATTGCTAAAAGTGGCTGAATCTCATTCCTTAACTTTTGGATATTGGTAGGCAGCATGTCGTTATTTAGTGTTTGAGTGGTGTAATCTTTTTCCAAATATTTGGGGAGATGGAGAGAGATGTTTGTGATTTTACATAGTGAACATAAGTTTTTGAAATGCAGCGAGTCTAAGGAAGTTCATGGGTTCTCCAGTTCCCTCTCTCTCTCTCTCTCTCTCTCTCTCTCTCTCGCTCTCACTCACTCACTCACTCACTCACTCACTCACTCTTTGTTTCTTATTTTCACTTGATACTATGAAGAAGTGATAAAGAAGAGTTATAAGACTAATGATAAGATAATGAGGATATAAAATGCATGACAAGATTATAAATAACTAAATTACTTAAAACAAGTAACTTAGTTTTGAGTTTTGCATTGGATCTAATGAGTTAAAAAAAATAGATTGGGTTAAGGTCAATTGTTTTTCAGAAGATCTAAAAGATAATTGATTGATGTGGTTAAGGAATTGCCAATGATTAAGGCACTCCACTATTAATAAGTCAATTAGATGTAAATTAAGTAGGTTCTCTCTCTATAATAATCACTAATTATGAAATTGAGTGACCTATCTACATATCACACAACAACAACATTGCAAGGTAATATATTAAATAAGTAAAAAAATTAATTTAGAAAGAAAGATGATTTAGAAATAATCTTATTGCTGGAATAGACTCCTAGGTGATTGAGAAACATACTTTGAATTTAGAACCCAATTGTGAATAGTTGACCTAACGTTGACTAATTTGGTTGACTATAGACCAACAAGTCAACAATTGACCAACGTTTGACTATTGACCGAGCTGACCTGGTTAACTGGGTGGACTGACTTGAATTAGGTGAGACAAATTGACACAGACCAAACAATCTAGAATGATTTGGACTGAAGGAGGTGGTCTGAGACGATCAAGACCAACGAGGCGGTTTGTCTCAGGCCAGGTTGCCGAATTGGTTTGGACTGAACAGAAACGGGTCATTTGGGTGACATATCTGGGTTTATGAACCTGTAGGGATTTAACTCTTAGTAAAATGAGAACGACAACTCGTTCGGAAAGGGCGGATCAGGCGGCGGCGGAACGAGCAGAGAGATGAATGAAGGAATGGGGGCGGTAGCGACAAACAGAGGTGACAGTGGCAGATGGTGGCAATGGTTGCAGTGATCAACGGTGGCAGATGATGATAGGGGGCGGACGAACGGGGATTAATGGCGGTGGACGGGTGGCTGGATGACAAGCATCAGGAGATGAAGGCGACGGAGATGGCGGACGGTGGCTGCATGACGAGCGGCGAGAAATGAAGGTGGCGGAGATGGCGGATGGTGGCTGAAGGACGGCGGCTACATGGTGGGCAACGGGAGATGAAGGCGGACGACGACGAGATGGTTGGCTTTCACAGCCTCTCTGTCTCCTTCCCTCTCTCTCCCGCTCTGTGTCCTAAATGGGTCTGAGCCGGTACAGTCGACGTGGCCCAAGGTTGCTACTGCATTCCCCACAGGTAAATATACAAATATAAAGTGTTACAATGCTATTCTCGAATATAATATTTTAATAAGAGTATTTAGAGTATTTACGGGAACGATGCTGATCCAGGAGTCAGTCGTCTGCTTTGTCGCTGGGGAACAATGGCTGCCGCTCTCCTCCGATGTACAGCGGCTTGTTCTCCTCCTCATCTTCGGGCCTCTAAGCTCCCTTCCAGGGGCCATGGGCGGGCAATGGCGGTCTTGGAGGAAGCTCGGCAGCTGCGGCTGCAGTATGATCTCCAGAAGGGGCAGTCCCGATTCTTCCACCGGCTCCCCTCGGGGCTGGGCATGGAGGTCATATTCCAGAAGGGGGCTGGCGGGGTGGCTGGCCAGGAAGCGCCGGCATACTCTGGTAGCGGCAGAAAGCCGCCCTTGGTCTTTGTCCATGGTAGCTTCCACGCTGCCTGGTGCTGGGCCGAACACTGGTTGCCTTTCTTCTCGGGCGCCAGCTACGATTGCTACGCCGTCAGCCTACTGGGTCAGGTAAGCTTCAGATGTCTCATACATTAGTTTCTGTTTTTTTTTTCTTCGGTCTCTTCTGATGGCGCCGTGTCGTTCTTGTGTGATTCTCATGATAGTGATTCGTCTTTGGTTCTAATGATATATTGTCAGCGAACTTCCCTTCTGCAATACTCTGATATTGATTGTCACCCGAGCATTGATATTTTTGTGTGGGCCTGTGTGGAAGGAGAGAATCCATGACCCTGAGGCTTAGTTCGGTGTGGAGATGGAGAACTTTTTAACGGGAATGAGCATTTTGATACTGTAGATCCAAATTCCTTGGGAAAAAGAGGGCCATTCCGTTCGGCTGAAAGGGAGAGGGGTTGGGGAGCAAAATTCTACTTGATTTGTAGTTTCGATCTTTACGTTTGCTGTTCAAGTGCCCGATGTAGACGGGCATGGTCATCGAGGAGGGTCTTTTCTTTGTGTGGAAAGGTGACGTCACATATGGCCAGAAAGATGACATCATGCATTGGCCATTCCACCGTAGAATCTTTGTGATGCATGAGGGGAACGGCTGCTCCTACAATGCACAAGGTGAAGATTTGGATGTCACAAGATGTAATATGAGGTATGATCTTGAATTCATGTAGGCGCTAGGGATGTAGGGGAGGAGAGGTGTTTTCCAAGCGTTGGGGCCTCACTCGTGACGAATCCAGGAAGATCTTGGTCTCACTGGTTTCATTCTTCCTCTATTTTTTACTCATGGAAAGGGAAGACAAGATTGAGAATGGATAAGACAGCGATAATAAAGGCAGATGAGGAACGCTAGGTTTATATATAACAGTGGGAAGAATTGGCCCATCTAACTCAAAATCAATTGATAAATTATAGAGATGATCTGAGTATTTAAAGCCTTCTTTTGGCCTGTCTGTGGCGCTTTGGTGCACAAGCAAAGCAGGCGTCACCACCATGAGAAGACAAGCCCATTACTAAAGGCCTCGCTGATTTTCTGGTAGAAAAGTCAACTGCTTTCTTTCACATTCAATGGACTGTGATTTCTCTTGCTTTCCCTCATTTGGTTGTCAAGGTAGGTAGCTTCTGAGATTTTCTGGGAAAGGGTAAGCAGAACAGAAGTGTGCCATATACATTTGCGTGTCTTTGGTGGAACTGAGGAACTATCATTGATAATATGAAGACATAAGCCATATATTTAAGCACTCTTTGTAACCTTTCCTTTAATGATTAAGTATTCAGGATGAAAGTTGAGCTTGTGCAAGACGTATGCCCATCAACTATATTCCCTCTAATTTACCTGTAGAGGCATTGTACAATGTTTTCTTTCTTCTCAGTTGGCTGTTAACTACAAATGCCCTTCTCCTTTCTGACGGATGTGAAATTTTCACCTTACAACAACAAATACGTACTAACTTTCTCTGCGAGTGCCTTAAAATTTTTCCAAATGTTTTGGGCGTTTGGAAGGCAGTACCTGTAGAGCCATATACTTTTTTTTTTTTTTAAATGATATCTACTTTTCAAATTTAGATTGAACTTCATTTTCTTTTGTGTCATAATATTCTGGCTCACTGAATTTTTGAAAATGGTTTACAATTTTCCCTCCCTTTTCTGTGGAGGGATAATTCCATGTTATTAGACGAGCTAATTTTATATTATTTCGAATTTTTAGCTTTCATGTATCTGCTTTTCTGTTTCTTCCGCATGCAATTTATAGATTGCCATGTGCACATTTGTTACAGCATGTGCAATAGAATGTTATCCAGTATCAGCGATCATTGCCTGAAAGATGAAGTCCTGTCGATGAGTTGGTCTTTTGACTTTCTAAACTGATTCATTTGGCGTAGGGTGAAAGTGATTTGCCCATGGATGCCATAGCTGGAAGTCTTCAGGTACTTATCTAATGAAGTTTCTTTGGTTAGAAAAAAGCAGATCACCTATAGATTTTAGTAGTGAGTGCTTGAAGTCTATTATCTGCTTTGGTTGCATCAGCTTCGCTTGCCTGCCTTGCTCATTCACATTGCTGGTAACTTTGTAGTAGACTCATACGAGCGACTTAGCTGACTTCATCCGGAAGGAACTCGAGATACCACCAGTGCTGGTTGGCCATTCATTCGGTGGACTCATTGTTCAGTCTTACATATCACATGCGGGAGCTGCTTCTTCAGTCTCTCATGCATCTGAATCAGGTGGGTCCACAATTCTTAGCATCTGCAGTGAACTGAAGCTACTGAATCTGCGGATTTTTTCCATCCCATTATTCAACAAAGCTATTTTTCTGATGACTTCTTTCGATTCTATTAACATGTTTTTAATTAGAGGACATTGCTGACAATCGCTGGACTTCCACATGCAGTAGAGCTTTTTTTAGAGCCTGGCCTTGCCACCAGAAGCTATTGACATGATGACGCTGGAGTTCCAGATTTTTTTCAGGAATGATGATGTTGAACACTCCCTTTTGTGCAGTCAGAAAAGATTCACGAGCGATGCTTGCAGGAGCTGTTCTTCTGTGCTCTGTACCTCCTTCAGGAAACAGGTGGATAATCGAGATCCCTTTTCTGACTTTTTTGCTGTTGCAGAGTCTTATGAGTGCAATATATTGCCTCTGAGAGAAATGTTTCTTGATTCTAGTGGGTTAGTTTGGCGGTATCTCTTGTCAAATCCAGTTGCTGCCTTCAAGGTACTAAATACGTCCTTTCTACGGACTAATATTCTCACTCACCGATTGTTGAGGATGATTCTATGAGATGCTCCATGCCCACTTCTCTTGTTTCTGTTCATGCTCCTCTTATTCTGAACGCCCAAACAGGTCACTCTCAGCCTGGCGGCCAAGGCTTTTGCGAATTCTTTGCCTCTTTGTAAGGAGACATTCTTCTCGTCGACAATGGATGATGGTGAAGTCCAACGGTCAGTAGTAAACATTTTTTTTGTCTTACTGCTTTGTTTTTAACCTATGAGGTCGAAGCCTTTTATGGGCTCATCGACCTCCAATCAAAGAAAGCCATATTAAATGTTAAAAGCATTTAATATGGCTACCTCGTATTGAATGTGGTGAAAGTATTAGATGAGTAAACCTACCTCATATCAAATGTGGTGAAAGGCACTCAATGGGTCCATTAATGTTAATAACCGAATTGCTGATTCAGAAGGTTTTTCGATAGAATAAAATCTCTAACAATCTGCAAGGAAAGCTTCACAGATTGGTCAAACTCAGAAAGTACAAAGCCCCGATGGGTTGCTAAAAACTTATAATGAACTTGAGATATTGTTGCCTAGGCAATACCTTGAGGCTCGTGTATCAAGGATATTCCATTTGTAAGATCTAACTTACTTGGAAGGAATCAAGTTTTGATTTTAGAAGGTTTGTCCATATATGAATATAATGAAATATCTCTAAGGTGACGTCCACAAATGGATCAAACCAGGAAATAAAAAGCATGCAAAATAATGTTAACAGAGTGACCGAGTTATTCGTTTTCTTTGAATTTCAGTACAAGGGAAAATACCTTGAAGGAGAAATAATTGAAGGAATCAATTGAATGGCAGTAAATATTGCCTAAATTTTGGGGAGTGATCTAAAATTTTCTTTTTGTGAGCAGCCACAGGCAGAAAAACCTTGAAGTACGTTTTTCTGCTGCAGAAAGCTCCATAGGTCTTTCAAAAACGACGAAGAGTATCTAAATATAACCGAAATATATAAAAGAAGAAGACTGTCATACTTCCATGCAGGCATTATGAGACTGCTAATCGATATGAACTTCAGGTTCGTGATCATTACCTAAAGCCAAATATTGGAAATAAAAAAATATCCCACGTTTTTTAAACCTGCGTTACAAAATTAATAGCATTTTAGTGATCTCAGTCGCAGTTTGGCTACGGATAATGTTTACAGAAGGTTAATAATGGAGGAAATACTTCAATAAGATGACATAAGATGAATCTGAGCTTGGCAGAATGAAATCAGAGTCAGAAATTTACAAATATTTAGTTTTCTTATTTTAGAAGGATCAAAGTGGTGAAATCATCAAGCGAATTCCAATTCGTATGTAACATGTGGATAAAATTTATGATGTTGAGTCAGTTACTTTTAAATGCTTTTTGAGGAGGTTAACTCATTTTCTAAAAAATGACATCATCTAGTGAATAGTTCAATCTATGGATTTCTCTTTTTTTTCTCTTTTTTTTTCCTCACACGAGTGATTCAATGTGCTTTCTTATCTTCTCTTTCATCCCATCACAGTTACCAGAATCTCATGAAACAAAGTTCAAGGGTGCCGCTGTTTGACTTAAGAAAGCTGAACGCATCACTACCTGTGCCCTCTGTACCCCATGGTTTCGTGGACGTTCTTGTTCTCGGTGCGGGAAGTGATTTCATTGTGGTGAGTCCATGCATTAGTCCTCGCTAATTACTCTAATCTGTAGTTTTCTTTGCTGTTGGATCTAAGACAAACAGGAACATATTGCTGTTGTGTTGAGGTAGGTTAGCCTTGAATAGGGTTTCTTCATGCTCTTCTTCTTCTTCTTCTTCTTCTTCCTCTTCCTCTTAAATCCATCCCTTCATTTTATGGCAAACGGTGGGTTGGCCTTCTGAGATGATTATTTTGATACAGTCATGTATGTTGGAACCTAAGTCGAAGTCTTCTTATCTAAAGATAATAACGGATCTGCCATTCATTCATTTATCTAATTATTGGTAGGAAACCCAAATTCCTTTTCTTTTCCAATTTCACCGCCCAGTTGTTTGCTTCAGGATTTCCCTACCATAGGCGCAAAAATATCTTCTTTAAATATCTATCATCAGTATTTGAGTTCTTTAATTGCTGAATCTGTACTCGAAAAACTTTTTTTTTATGATTTGTTTATGTCTTGAGTTATCTTTCATTATCATCCGAACATGCCTCTGCCTTCAACCCAGGAAACTCTGTGAATTATGCCCGTGATATTGTTTCAGGATGCGGAAGGCCTCAAAGAGACGGGCATGTTTTATGGCGTAGAGCCTGTCTGCCTGGAGGGTGTGGCCCATGACATGATGCTGGATTCTTCATGGGAAAAGGGGGCAGAAGCGATCTTGTGTTGGCTGAAGAACTTAAACTAATAAGTGGTGAAGATCTAAATATTCCTTCATTCCAAATTTGGATATAATATTTCTCTTGACTGAAGTGTTTCATTGTTTTTCAATTATGTTGTTTTGAGCCAAGAGGGAGATTGGTTTGGGGAGAGAACAATTCCAAACTTGTTGTCAGACTTAAATCTCTCTCTCTCTCTCGTTCTTGTCCCTTTTACTTCAAGTTTGGGGTTACTATTCACCTCCATTGTTGGATTTTGAGAGGCTTTGATGTTTTTTTTGTGGTTATTTTGTTCATTAAATTCAAATCTAAATTGAAAAGGCCAAATGTTCAAGTAATGTTTGAGCTCTGCACACTCGGCTACAGGCTTTGAGGGGAGGCCTCTCCCTCTCTCTCTGGATTTATTTCTCTCTTTTTAACAACTAATCTATCTAGAAATACATTGATGATCTTTCTTAACTCTCAGCAAAATCTCTTCCCTTGTGGATATTATCCATCTATAGTAGAAGCAGATTTATTTTATATATGGAGAAAAAATTATCATAATTTCATGTCAAGGATGCCAATAGTTGAAGCCCAATGGACTGTCTATTTTTGGGAGGTTTGGCTACTTTATGTTTGTCTACCATTTGACGTCATAGCAATGTCTTAATGATTTTGCATTTAAATAAGAGAAGTTTAAAGAGATTTTTTTGTATATCAAGGACATGTTCGAAAAATTAAGTTCCTTAAAAAGTAGTCAATCTTCAGAAATCTTCTTGATTATATTGAATTATTATAAACACATTCTTATATAAAAAAACTTCTTAGGGTTACCCAACTCAGACAAGTATGCTTGAATATAAATTACAAGATCAAGCAGAAATTTATGAAAAATAATATACAGATTCAAGGAAAAAATTTGAAATTCATTATAGAATCGTTTTAACATTTTTCATTCGGTTTTATTTCATTTGACATCGATTAATGTAATATTTATCATCATTTTAACTTGACTAACATAAAAGGATGACACATGAACATTGCCCAATGATGATCCCTCAACATTAAGATTCAAGAGATAAATTAAAGTGCAATGAAATTATTTCTTGTGTGAGAAGTAGGACAGCAATTGTGCCATCAATCAGTGTACACATGAGCATTAGTTTTTAAGTGTTGTACATCACTAGAGAAGTTCCATGGTTTAAGAGAATTTCGTAATACTACTTTTTTAACAAAATTATTCAAGTTTTTGACAAAAATCTTTGGTGGAGTCAAAAGGGGACCCTAATCATATTAAATACCGAATGGAAAGTATATCATCCCATCAAGTTTTGTCTCCTTTGCAGCATTTTCTTGAGGCCAATTGACTTCCAATATTTTGTATTTTATTTTAGGTTACTTGAACATGCTGTCTGATTTTTAAAAGATATATTTTTAGTTTCAACAATTTTAATCAAGCCACCTTTATAGTCAAAATGGTTGCATTTATGTGGGAGTAAATAATGTTTAATGCAAGTCACAGAATCTTGTGTCTTTTTCCTTCCTTTTTCTTATAACTTGGAAAATTATGAATTCTCAGTAATTGTGAAAAATTCAAAAAATATTCAAGATTCCCATATTTTCATGGAACTAAGACTTCTCTAATAGCTTCTTGACAAGCTATGAAAATTAGATAACAAATGAGCCATCATTCATTGTTGTATAGTTTGTGTGAGTCATGGTTTTTCAATTCACTATGAAAATTGGAAAGGAATCAAAAGCTCTCTAGACAGTAACAAAGATATATATAAAAATCGAGGCTTATTTAAGAAGTATAAGATTGTGTTGGGAATATGTGACACGTCATAAAAATTTGAGAATAAAAAAGGTTTTATACATCATAAGAATGTGAGCATTTAACAATGTTGGTGCAGTCTTCCTCTGTAGTCAATCGAAGAGAGATCCGAATGAGTGTATGTATCTCATTTTTTTCAATAAAAGCTATTTATATCAAGCGCTCTGAATCCTTAAATTATTAATCAATATCCACTATTAGGAAGCACTTTAAATCCTCACCCATTGACAATATTTACTGAAACAGGGTTTATACGTTTTATATTTTAGCAGAACACTCATCCAATGTCACTTTTAGGCTCCAAATACTTCAACACCAAATGGCATCAACCAAAAAAAATCCAAAACCTCTACATCATTGTTTAATCCAGTTCTGATGCTTGATTTCCTTGAAAGCTTATTTTTATCCTCCATTATCAGTTAGGATCAGACATATTTTGATAGTCCCGATACGATTTTTGTGAAGTTTTAGTTAGAAGAATGGATGACACCAGTCATACAAGGCCACATCAACCAAGGTATGTTTCATCAGCCACATCATGGCGCAAATACATGCATGAATACTTGCTGCACGCCACCTCACCCTTTTTTTTTGACGACAACTGAAAATTAGGAATAACAATTAGCAAACAAAGGAGGTAAGAGGAGAAGGGAGGGCGAGGGGTCGTTTCTCCCCTCACTTCTGTTTTTCCTCTCTCTCTCTCTCTCTCTCTCTCTCGTTATCTCATTTCTCTCTCCCATTTTCCCCCCATATCTCGTCCTCTCACTTCTCTCTCCTGTTTTTCCCCCCTCTCTCTCTTTCTCTCTCTCGTTTTTTCCCTTCACTCCCCCGATTTCCCCGTCACTCTCTCGTTCTCTCCCTGCCCTCTCCTGTTATCCCCTTCTGTCTCTCGTTGTCTCCCTTCCCTCTCTCATTTTTTCCTTCTCTCTACCATTTTTCCCCTCTCTCTTTCTCTCCCATCTCTCATTGTCTCCCTTTTCTTTCCTGATCTCTCTTGCTTGGGGCAAGCTTTGGGTGACAAACAGACAAAGTCAAGGCCTGCGATTCCCTTTTACTTTTTGAAACAATTTTCATTCTTTGCTGGGAGTTTTCACCATTTTGTTTAATTCTTTTTCCTAGGTGACGCGTTGATGAGGAGATTAGACCTTTCCAGCACTTTCATTACTTTACTTCCAATTCTTAGTTCATTTCTTTTCCATCTATTTTTTTTCTATCTGGGTGACACGAAGAGATGGCTTCATGATTAGTTTATTTTGTAGTTTTTAATTGGAGACGTGTTTGCTTTGGGTGATAGGCCCAGGCCCAAATTCATATTTTCATAGATTTTCACCATATGATAAATAGAGTTTAAATCAAGTTCTTGCTGGAATACTAAACTATATAATATTCTGATGATGAAAAATTAGTTGAAAGAACAATTATAAAAGATCAAATTATGTCAAGTTTAGACCATGCAAGAAAAGAGATCGAACATGAAATTGTAAGTATATTCTAAAATAACAGCAGTAAAAGTTTAGATGGGAACCTACCAAGTATATTCCCTTTTGTCAAATTATCTTTTCCCATTCTACTGTCCCCAAGCTTCTATGTAAGTCTCTCACGTAGGAAATTCATGCAAAAACGCATAGATCATGTTGGCAAGAAAAGCTACACAAAAGGTATTAATTCAAGGAGAACTATTATAACATTAAAGCTTTTCCTTGAAGTTTAAAATACTTTTCAATTCATAGCCAACAAGTCGACAAGAAGAGGATATCAACTTCAAGTTAGCTAACATCATCCTCTTCATTAGAACTCCAAGAAAACTCAAAGTCTACATCATCTTTAGAATACTACCATGATGAAATTATTTCATATATGTTATGGGATAAACTTTTGATTGATTTAATTAATCACCTGTGGGATCTGTCTTAATTAATAATTGTTAACCTCCTAGAGTCATAACTCTAGAAAGAAATTTCAAAGTAAAATTTATGAAATTTGAGCATGATAATCAATAGTGTACGAGAGAACAATCGTAGTTAATGGAACCTGAGAATAAAGTTATTCATGGATAGTAGATGTAGATAGTAAACCAAATCATTATACTTCTACTCTTATATTTGTTAAGTTAGAAAGACTTCATGATTCATAGAGACAAGGATAAGGTAGAATTACCCAAATATAATGACTAAAAAAGAAACTATAGAACTAGATCAATTAAACCGCTTCTTCTTGATCTCTATGAAGCTAAAATCCAACGGTTTTCACTTCTATTTCTCCTTTTGTAAAATACACACTCATATTGGCTGATATAATTATTCTTGACATTTTTCAGCCATCGATCTAATTGAATCTCATGTGAATAAATTTTCTTTATTGTAGAAGATCTACTCTTTAGATAAATAACATGTAAATCATTGAATAATTGAAGGATTCAACATGACTTGCTAAGACAGTGTGGACAGCTGTTGAGATAGAGAAGAATTTTATTTCAATTTCTTTGTCATGTTTAATTCAATAAATTTGAAGAATAGAAATTAACATAGTAGTGTTGATATTCATCCTTGAGATCAACTTGGATTCAGAGAATTTTAAGGTTAATTTCCCTTTTTGAATTCAGTTATAAATATTAAGGTTTGGCATCTTTTGCCAACAACGAACAGAGCACATTAGGTAAGCGAATCACATTAATCTTTGTGAACATGAATCAAAGCCTTAGACACCTCATAAAATAATAATCAACACAGACCCTCTAAGTATCTATGCAATGAAAAGAAATTTTAAAAAATTATAGCCCTGATTTATTATGAGAGATTTCAAAAGTGGTTATAAATAGAGGTTTTTGAAGTATATTTTTGTTAAATTTTAATTTACAAATCTAATTAGTTCGTTTTTATTGGTGGAAAACCTACAAGATCTTTGCCTATCCCATGTGTGTGTTAGAAAAGGAAATTAAATATTATCAACTAAGGAGAGAAGAAAAGAGGATTATTTCCAGCAGTACCGTATCCATAATAATGTGAGATGTATAAGGAAATGCTTGATTATGTGGGGAGTACTCCAAGTATTATATGGTGGTTTTTACTTCCTTAAATATTAAGGTGTTAAAAGTTTGGACCTTTTCTCCTAAGTAGGTGTAAGTAAAACTACTGAAGAAGAGATTCAAATTTCTTATTATTAGATTTGAGAGCCTTGATTTTAATGTTTCCCATGAATCATAAATCATTATAA